ATAAGTGCTAGGAACGGATCAGCTGGGGTTCTTTGCAAAAATATGAGTTTCAAACATAGTTAGGGTGTTTTAATATCGTGTAATTTTCATTACGGACGCGGGATTGCCCCGCATGCGTGACACCCGCAAGTCTCTTTTCATACAAATATTTATTGTAATACGTGAAATACGCACGTGAGACGCGGAATCTCCCGCGCGGGGACTTCGCCTGCGTGAGCGCTTCTATGAACCCCAGTGTGTATTTTACTGTCATGCGACATCACCTTACCGTTAGTAATTCCTGGCAATAAGTGGTGACTGAGTTTGTTCCGGCGTTTCTTCTCAGCACTTATGTTTGTCTCGAAGCGCTGGTAGGGCCCAAAAGATAAGGAGACATGTAAAGTGCCCCATAAGGGCTACCTTTTCTATTTTTATTATTTTCTATTGACGTTCATAAGTGCCACTTGTGGTCTAAACTGAATAAATATTTTTGATTTTGATTCTCGCGCACGATATTAAAAATACCCTTAGTGAGTGACACTGGCGGATTGTAAGCGGAGCGGCGGCGCGACGGGCACGCCGCGGTCGCCAAAATGCTTGCAACAAGCCTCGCCGCTGCTTCGCCCAGAAAACGCTTGCAATCCGCCAGTGTGGCAAGGCCTTTAGACCGGAAATATAGAAACGTTAGCTTTCATCAATCTGGAACTGTTTTATTATACACTCAACATCAAATAAACCGCACCTTCTGCGACGCGAACTTTAAAGTTTTTCTTCTGACACAATCATGGTACCCCGACAATATTGGTGTTATTTGAAAGCCCAATAAATATCCTTAAAGAAAAACACATTTAATTTCTTAATAAAAGATTAACATATACCATAAATGTGACTTGAAAGAAGACCTCACTTTGGGCTCACCTCTGGGATCAATTAGACCAAATTTTATGGTTATAAAACCAAATAATGATTACACGTGTCCTCTTTAATAGATGGATAGCGATTAATCCCAACTTAACAGTTTTATGGCCATAAAAGTTGGCTCAAACGTAACTACCTATTTTTTGAAGAAGTGACTCTGGATCCTTCTAAAGACACATTTTTAGGGTAAAAACCTTTCCTTTAATGAAATGAAGTTTAGAAGCTTTTAAATGGTGCCAATATTGGTGGGAAGTGGGATGCATGCGTTTCAAAGTGCCGCGCGGGAGGTGCGATTTATTTGACGACGAGTGTATCATTAAAACCCGTAATGTTTCTACCAGGCTGATCTCCGGCGTTTGCGGCGAGAGCGTGGAGTGGGTGACGCCGCTAGGACTGCCGGTGGTGCAGCCGTACTACCGTCGGGCGCCGCCCTCGGCCGCGCAATACCGCGCGCCGCTTGATCGCCAACAGTCAGTATAGTGTCAACACCCTATATTTGACACCCCCAATCAAAAGACGTACTTCTTTGTATAAGGCTCGGCCAGGCCTGTTCATCTCCGCGAGTTTACATCGAAAACAAAACACGCACGATACTATTCGACAAGACTTCACATACGAGCGAACATTGACTCACGCACGCGTATTCTTGTGTATGATGGAAGAAAATGGTGTACTAAATACCTAATGTGCAGTATTTAACTGCCTAAATAATAATAAAAACACAGAATGTACTTTTTTAAGTTGCCTCTAAGTTGCCTCAAGACACTGAGAGGTAGGTAAATAAGTAGTTAATATTACACACGATAATTTATGCTAAATCATGTATTTCCTCCGCCACTTTCCGCAGTTTGGCACCTCACGTCACATCATTTTACCGAAGTCAGCCCTATATAGTTCCAAAATACTGGACTGTCTTGTCGATGACATTGACAGTGGGGCGCCACCGTCAATACCGGATCGCTGGTTCAGATTTTTGCCATGTTGGAAACCATATAGTTGAACGATGGTAGCGCCCCCCTGTCATTGAGTTTGGCGGGACAGTTCAGCGTGGGTCATCTATAGCTTCGGCGCAGTGCCGATCACTGACGTTTGTCAACAAAATGGTGCTTGACTCTTGAGACAGGCTAAATTACACCATATTGTTAATGACATTGAGCATACATTTTTTTAAATACGTTCGCGAAGTAAAACTTCTGTACGTAGTACTTATTATTATTCTGTGGTATAGTGTCAACACCCTATATTTGACACCCCCAATCGATTGACGTACTTTGTATAAGGCTCGGCGCAAATGGGCCACCGACCACTGCCACCGTTGGCCAGCGACGGCGACTTAACACACTTTTTAACATATTTTGTATAGACGCGCCGCACAAGTGTGTCCGGTGGCGCCACTCGCTACAGTAGTGTCCGCGACTCGCCACTAGTGGTCACTACGTGCCACACAAAACGCCGGCACTGCTCCACCCCCGCTAGAGATGGGTTGGATTAAAATATTTGGATTATGTGAATTAGATACTGATTTACCTAATCCAAATATTTTAAAATACCTAATCCAAATACCTATTCCGAATATTTAGCAACGACCGGGTTATAAAATGTGGCGGCTTCCAGACACCGGTGTCTGTCGTTCGCTTCTGACACTCTTAGAAATGTGGCGGTAGCTCGCGACAGCCACCGGTGGCTGTGGTCGGTGGCCCATTTGCGCCGACACTAAGGCGTCAACGCGAATTCAGACGTAGACAAAAACCATTCTGACATTCACGATTCTCTTTGGCCCAGAATAGACGGTGAAACGAAACTGCAACTTTCTGATGATTCTGATGAATGAAACTGAAAGTTTCAAACTGGTCGCGTCATGTGTGGTCTCTCAACGGACGCTATGGCAGAAACTTAGATGCAACTCAAAAGTAACTAGCAGTTGCAGTTTCGTTGCAGTTGCGTTTCATCGTCTGGTCTGGGCCTTACTCAACTCATTCCACAACCAAACCTATTTCCTTCCAGACGTCCATGCACAATGAAGCAACGCAACGCTTTCCCGCCAAACTTCATCCACTCGCTGGACTCGTCGCACATGATGCTGACGGGGCTGCGCTGCCAGGCGCGCGCGCTGGCCTTCGTGTCCGTCCACGACTGCTTCTGGACGCACCCCGGCGGCGTGGACGCCATGAACCAGGTACACAAATAACCCTTCTGGCGCAGTCGGGTAAAAAGCTCGAGGATTATAGCAGAATAGGGGCTTATACCCGTTTTCACCATCAGTCTCTAATTTTTAAGTGACCCCTATGGTATTTTCACCAGGAATTTTGTTTTCATAGGGGTCACTTAAAAATTAGAGACTGATGGTGAAAACGGGCATTAGTGTCTCTGGGTTCTATTCCCTATATCTATATTCACAACTGAGTTAGTTTCCGTCTTGACCACATATCCTGGGTACGGGAGTGGTGCCTACCTCACGCCCTTTCAGCGGCTATCAGCCGAAAAGCATACTCAACCCATTAATTACTTATCCATTATCACGACAAGATACATACGGCTGACGTCAGCATCGTCATCAGCGACAGCGTAGAGTCAAGCTGACTGGACTTCAGCCTGGGTGTACGGATACATCTGGATATACTCTGATTTACTGGATTTTCTCGAGATGATGAAACATAAAGCATAATTGGAAACTCTTGTTTTATAGATTTGCCGCAAAGAGTTCGTCGCTCTTCACTCGCAGCCGATCTTGGAAGACTTATCCGAATTCATGGTGAAGCGATACAGTTATGATGAAAGGTAAATAAATACCCTCACTTTCCTTTTAATTAGTAGACAAAAATAATTTTGACTCTTGGGACAGAGCAGGAGATAATGCAACTTTTCTTCTTTCTAGTGAACTAGAAGAGCGTACGATGGGCGCCGCGAACAAAAAGCGCGTGAACAGTTTACTGCAGAAAGTTCCGGGCAAAGGATCATTCGACCTTAAAAGCGTGCTTCGCTCCGTGTATTTCTTCAGCTAGGCGGTTGGTCTCTTGCTTTGTACGGGGACAGTATAGATAGACGATTGTAAGCGTACGCGTCTCTTCCTTTAGAAAACAGTCGTTGGCTTCATCAAGTTCGTGGCGACATTTTTTTTTATAGTAAGCGCGTGTAAATAAGTATGTATACTCATCACGATAACGTAGTGTGTTTTCAGATTATGGTGCCATACTGAACACGATTATTCAAAGTTTGAGTGCCTTGATTTGAGTGTGTCACGTATATGAATAAAGTTACAACTTGGACTTGATCACTCTCTTGTAAATAATTTGAGTTTTTTTGACAAATAAATAACTATTCTTCGGTAGTCTTTATCAATGATTTGGAGATAAGCACTAGACACAAAAATGCAAAGTTCGTGAGGTTTGTGCTACGTGTTTTTGGAAGAGACGTCGTAACCGCAATATGTACCTTGATAGACTGATATTGATGTAAGGTGGTGGAATACGATGATTGTAAAAAATGCTGCCTTAAAACTTCTAGATTATGTATTATGTATCGGACAATACTACTTCATAATATAGTCTGATATGAATATGCTTTGATTCAGTAGCTACAAGTGATTGGAGTAGATAACATGACCGATTTTTAATCTTGACTTATGACATGATAAAATGATTTGTAAATGTTAATGTTTCGAATTAATATAGAGTACTTACTTACCTCAATTATTTAAAAATCGGTTGTGGACGTAGTTAGCTCTTGTAGAGTACAAACTATGTAGTCAGTAGATTAGATTTCCACTAAGACCTCGCTAAAATTACCGGTATAAGTTTACCTCAGATGTATTCATGTATTGCGCTCCACTAGGTTTAATATTCACATGCACGAAGCAATAAAGATATTATGATAATTATGATACGCTGTTTTATGTACCAAAATATAACTAAGTATGTCGCCATTTTTTGCTGATAACCTTTGTATATTGAAGTGCAATGCTGCGAAATCTGTGATTTGTTAGATAACTAACAATAAATTAAGTTCAATTGTAAAAGATGTTTTTATTAAAACACACGACGTCATCGTCCTTCCGTAAAGAGTATTCTTATGTGTAAGTACACGCAATAAATAAAACCAGCGGGTAATACAAATCTGTCGTTTATTTCCGGTACAAAAATCTAACTTTACACGATACACGTTACTATGACAGCAATTTGACGTGGCGACGCGACGCGCGGCTTCGCATTATACACTGGACTGGACAGAACACACTATATTCATAAATTATTTTAACAATAATGCAAAACTTGTAAAGTAACTAGTTATGTAACTCGTTTCTGGTTTTCCAGTTTTTTTCTATTATTAAAGTAACAGATAAAGTTAACAATGAGTTGATAAAAACGTTTGGCGCATGTGCAGTCTACAGTTTTTTTCCTGCATTTTAGCAGCATTGAACTCGCTAAATGTGCCCAAAACTTTTGATTATTATTTGCAAACAAATTCTTAACTTAGTCTATAATTTGCATAATTTATTCAAAATATATTATTTAAATTCGTACGATTAGATTTTAAATAAGTACTTATTCTACATTAATTAATCGTCGATTTGTATGATTTGTTTGAATGTTTTTATCGAATTATATTTATGTTTGGCTGTGTGTGGTTGTTAGAACTATGTTTTGATAGAAAACATTAGTCTTGGTGACCAATGCTTATGAATGAAAGTAGGATTAAGAATTTAAAATCACTATTTTTGTGCGGCTTACATGTTACTCCATAAAGACACTTTACAACAACCAAATCACATCTACGATAACATCTCTATAAGGGGCATTCACGATAAAACCTTGACTCCATTCTCACTCTAAACACAGACCAGCGTCTTTTTAAGTAATCTTAAATTAATATAAATAATTTCGACTAGGCAGTTTCATTGCGTAATACTGAAATCTTTAACAATATTACTCGTATACTCTATGGGGCACACGAGATAGCTTTTAATTTCAAAGCCTGGGATGGGCAGATTAACAATTCAACTGCCCAAGTGTTTATTCCCTCAGCTGAATGAGCTATAAAAGATCAGTAGAATATGGAACATTTCTTTCTTCGCAGGCAAAGTAACATGCGTACATGGTTCCCAATAGTTCCCATACAGACTCATCTGAATGTAAAGTGGAATAGGCAGCTAAGAAGTACGATATCAGAGGCGCTTATGTCCGAGCTCTTCCAATTCAGTATTCGTTCTCTCAGTTTTTGTACGCGTTATTGGACGGACCTTCGTCATACATGTGACCTCACTTCATGTAGCGGAGGTTTCAACCAGGGAAATTAAAAGGGGACTATGAACTATCACTTCTAGGCTACAAGAAGTTTTTGCGTGAATGGCACTGGAACCAATATGTGGTGCGCATTTGGACTATTTAGTCAAGCTGGATATCACTGGTGAAGTTACTTTGCCTCCGGGCGTGGCGCGTGCAAATTTAGCGGCGCGCGCATTGCACGCCAGTATGCGGGCGCGCGGCTGGGTCGGCCGACTCGTGCGAGCCGCTCGTGGTCGTGCGTTGACTCAGATCCGAAGGGCTAAGGAAAACATTGTATTTGTAGTCCATTCTTTGCAGGCGCGGATCCACAGTTGTGGGCACTGTGGGCATGCCCACAACCCTAATTTGCTTGTTTTAATTATGATCTATTGATAAGATCGATAGGCATGTATGTATGTCCGGGCATGTAGTGATCCAAGTCTCACTTTGCTAATTTTTGGTGGCTGTGCCCACAACCATTTTTGAGGGCTGGATCCGCGCCTGATTCTTTGGCATTGGAGATGACAGTGGCTTGTGATCTTCTGTATCATCAGTGCATTAAGACTAGGCGCAGACCACAGATTTTTTTTTAGTTGGCCGACAGTTGGGCCCGATTTTAATTTGTATGAAGAATCGGCCAAATCAAATCGGTGTAATGTGCGCACTTCCATACATGCCCATACTGATTAACTGCCCGACTAAATTATTGGTCTGCGCCTAGGCTAAGGTTCAAGTTCGTAACCGACTCCACGCAGCAGCAGATGATGTGTCGCTTCGCTAGAGATACATTATGTATGAAATATCATCACAACGTGTTGCTAACTACAGATGGTACCTTCGTTGCACTTTCATATTGAAACCAGGAGCCTCGCGACGACACACATCGTCTGCTGCTACTGCTTGAAGTCGGCTACGAAAATCATACCTTTGGCGTGTGAGTATTCCCATGATGATACAACAACGTCAAATGGGCACATATTTAATTAGGCCACAAATACTAAATACCTAATTAGCCTACAATAGGTACATACCTCGGGGTTAACGCATCAATGTCCACATTCTGCAAGCAAATCCATTGCGGCATTATGTTGTCCTCATTTTTGGCACAGTCCAAGGATCCGTTATAGATCAACAGGTCATCCATCAAAACCTAAAAATATACGCGATATTTTTACACTCTATCTATACTTTCAAACATTTACATTTGAGTTGTATGAGATAACTTACACCAAATTCTTTAACTCCCCTCGTTGGAGTTTTGCCGTAGTTCCAAATCTTCATACCGTAAACTGATATCGGTACATCGAAAACGAAGAATACTCTGAAAAAAGATTTGGATATTTTTAAAGGTCTTGCAATTTTTCATGTAATAAGAAAGATGTAGAGTGCGAGTAAGCTCTCTCGTACACCTTTGACAGTCCACCAGAGAGAGCTTCAGCGAGTCCACACTCTAGGAGGTCTAATGGTCGAGGTGGCTGCGTTTCTCCCTTGGGTTAATAAACCATAAATATTCGTTCATCCCCATGCTCAATAGCAGTAGGTATAGTTACTTTTCTTCCAAGTTTGAGTAAGCCAAACAAACATGTGAAAAAAACGTAACGGAACCGCGGGTAGGTTATGCTATAGGCGCGTTTACCCACTATGGCGATTTTTGCAGCCGCGGTGCCGAGACTCGCCGTCGCTGCGGTAGCGTAATGTGGACTCCATACAAATCCAAACTAAATGAGTGCTGTTGCGCCGCATGGCAGTAGTGTGTTAGGGACTTACAGCCTTATTGCAATGTTAAACTTCTCCCGACCAAGCTAAACATGGATTTAGTAGTAACCTGTTGAGAGTATGAGGCAGCACGGGCGCCAGCCAGGAGTGCGCGGCGCCGGCGGTGGCGCCGTCGATCAGCTTGTCGGGTGTACGCACGTCCTGCGCTCGCGCATCTAATACGTTCACGCTCGCCGGGTGCGCACACACATCTGTATAAAGGCAACAGCGCATCAGACTGCATTTTTGTTGCAATATAGCCTGTGTTACAAGGAGATAAGATTCTACTGTGTTAAGCGATGACTAGTGATGTGATGACATCCGTGCAGCACATCAGACTACACTTTCTTGCTGCAAATTCGCATCTTTCACAAGTACATAAAGTGCCACAGTGTTTATGTTTCTAGTTTCTATATCATCGTTTTTGTACCTAAGTAGTTACATTCCAATAAGAAGAGACTGCACCAGAAGCGCGTTTAAGCGGCGATGCTGCACGCGCGCATCGTATTAGCAACCCGCAAGACGAAGTGTTTGTTGCAATACTTGCAATGTCCAAGTAACACGCTTCGGCCTTTTATGTATAGAATCGTGTCGGCCATAATAAAATGACGAAAATGAAGAACTTTAGCTCGACTGCTATCACTGAGTGAGTAATCGCAAAAAGTGGATAAAGCCAAACGAATCGATCAACTGTAGAAATTACCTGTTACATGATAACATCAAATTGATATAATTCATTAAATATTACCGAGCAACAATTTCCGTCATTACTGTTCAGTTGGACACAATTGGATCACAACTTTATTAATGACGAGACCCAACTTTTACCCGACTGCACCAGAAGGAGGGTTGTTTTTCAAAAAGACTGTCAGAAGTTTAGGGATAACAGTTTCAAATCAAAATAAATTAGCAAACAAAGGCAGTTACCAAAAATCGCCGGACTAATCCAAAACTTACTAGTCTCCGTTAGCTGTATCATGTTCCCGTGGGGGTCATAGAGCTCTACGGCGGTGAGGCCCACGTAGTATGGGTCGCCCCACGTGGAGAAAATGCTGAGTTGCAGCACGAAGCCCGTGGGAGCACCCATGTCGAGTCCGCTACCGTAGACCAGGCAGTCCATGCGGAAACTGTCGGAATCTTTGGCGTCTTCCAGTCTGGAGGCAATGAGGAATCAATGTTTCAGAATACAGGATGATATAACATAATAAAGGCAGTAGACCAGACAGTCTAGTAGATGCGCTAGCTAATAAAGCAGTCCATGCTAAAACTGTCACGAGTCCTTGCAGTGCCTTCCAATCTGGATTGGGAATGAGGATTTCAGAATACAGATTCAATCCTTGAGGCTAGGAAGCTGTTAGTTTTTAGCGTCTTCCAGTCTGCTAGCAATAAAATCATCGTTCCAGAATAGGTTCAAATGACAAAGACCAGACAGTCTAGTCTTGTCGTCCTTGAGGCGACATAGTCCAACGGTGTGAAACAGTGTCGACTCGAGGGTCGTAGTCCTGTCTAAACACCATCGTCTGCTAGACTATTATGTTTAGGCGGACCCAGTCGTAATACGAGCACCTATTTAGCTAAGCTGGAGAAGTTAATGGGACTGCTATGAAGTTGCTAATAAGACTTGTCTTCAGCTGAAATAAATTTGAGTGATTTTCTGTTCAGATATAGGACATCTCTACAGAAGAAAATAATCTTACCGATCATCAATGTTAGCCAGCTCCAGCTGGTGTACATAATCGTAACAGGTGTCCCCAGGCGCGCGCCGCAGCAGTACGGGCCGGTAATGCAGCGGCACTCCGTCCAGCGAGATGCGAGCGTGTTTCGCTCCGATGTAGGACAGCTCCATATTCGCGTTGTAGTTCCAAATGCGGATACCTGGATCAGAGTAATACTACGCTACGGGTACGTAACTATAGGGTGGCAGGGCTGGCAAATTGCCACGGGCCCCCGACGGCCCCGGCCCAAGACCCTAATCGCAACCTCCCCACCCCTGAAAAATGCCAAGGGCACCATGCACAGAATTTGCTACGGGCCATAGATGGTATAGTTACGCCACTGCGCTACGGTCTCCTATTCAACGCTATACGCGGCTTACAATAGTTACAATGTCAGCGTCAGACGTTCCTATTGACACGACACCATACGCCGACGTCAACGTCTGAAAGAAACCAAAGTAGTGCATTTCTATAGTAAGCATTGTGACGCAGCCTACGGCGTGACGCTGTGCGCGGCGTATAACGTTTATCAGGATATCACATGACAGCCTTGAAAGTCCTAACATAGAAAAATGGTAGCAGTCAACATCTTCTCAAGAAGGAATCCTGATTGCTAAGTAGATAACGAACGACCAGCATATCATGTACATTGTACAATAATGGAGAAGACCAGTAAAATTCTAAACTAAGACAAATATCACATAAGCCCCACTAACTTGTGATTTCAGAAGGTTCCCTCAACTCCATAATAATGTGACAGAATTTCGTCCCAGAAGCAAAGTTGGTGCACCACATATCGTCGAAGTCAGTCGTGATGTTCCTCCCGGAGAACAAACTCTTGCATTCCATCAGGCTACCAGGGTCTGGGGTTTCCTCGTCGGTGATAAATGACGTGTAAGCGTAAGCTCGGTGAACCTTCACTGATTCGTTGTAGCAGAGGATTTCGATCCCTGGAAAGATAGTTGAAGGCGTGATCTTATGTGACAGTCGATTAAGGGCTTTTATTAAAGCCTTGGGCAGACCAAACGCAGGGCAGTAGCAGCGCAGTTTGAATGCGGGCCCGCGCAAGTTGTAATACAAGAAACTCTTTGAAGTATGTCACACCAAATTTGAACGCGGGCCCGCGCCGCACTGCAACTGCCGAACGACAAACGAGGCGGCGCGGGAGCGGGACAGAAGCGGCGCGAACGCGGGCCCGCGTTGTTGTATTACTATGGCGGCCACATTAGCATGACACACCGGACGCAGGGCGGTAGCAGCGCGTTGAAAGCGGTTTTCGAATATTTAAATTTTTGACAACCGCCCGCGTTGCAACTGCTTTGAAACTGCGCTGCTTTCAGTGTGCCTCAGCCGCGCTACAACTGACCCGCACTGCTTCTGACCTGCGTTTGGTCTGTGGAAGCCTTAAGGGTGCCAAACTATAAAGACAAGATGACGAGTCTTATATTTTCACCTGTAAGCCCGATCAGATGTCTTTGACCCCAGTTCGACATGAGCGTCAATTTGATCTGCTTCGCGACGTATTTCGTCTCCTTCTCCTCGTTATCCAAAGCTTCGAGCAGTTCAGCAGGACTCAAGTTGTGGTTGCTGTCATTGGCTGTAAGCGGCCTTTGCTCTATCAAGGTAGACTCGTTCATTGGCTCGTTCTCCTTTAGAAGAGCTTGGAAATTCTTGTCGTTGATCATTATGGCTTCTAAAATACTTGGGTCTTTGGTGAACAGGATGGTCTGTAAAAGGATCCATTAGTTGCTTTGATGTTACTACTCTCACTAATTTGCATGATGTTGCTTTACTGAATTTACATACATCACCAAAAGTAGGTAATGGTCCTTTCAGTTCTCCACTAGACCTCGCGATTTCGCCATGGAATATGACTTGGTCATCAAGTTTTATCTGAACCAGGCGCACTCCTCTTGTAGAATAAATTCGTGATTTATTGTAATTCTGTAAAACGAATAGAAGAGTATCAAAGATAAGCCACCACCATCATGCTATTTCTCTGGGCGTAGGCATGTTCTGCTTCACCATTTTTCGCTTCGAGGGACTTTGTGATGTGGTGTTCCTGCCAGAATCGGTCCACCTTTTTCTGAAAAAGTGTGCTTACCCATATCCTGAGCAAAGCCAGTCGCGTGCAGTTAGCTAGCAGTATACTGAGTGCGACGGGCAATGTCCGCGGCGCGGGCGTGGTCCAAGCGTGACGCTCGTCGCGGGTCCTCACCACTCCATCGGCGATGCTCTCTGCGCGCCCATGAGACGAGTGGTCACCCGTGTCAGAATCCGTCCACACCTGGAAGAGACGATTGACATGCAAGACTCGTCAATTTCACGTTTGAATTAGGATAGATTTTACGATACACATCAACACCCTTAAACAAGGAGCACTTTTTGATCGATCGCGATATACCTAACTCTTACAAATAAATTCTATGTTGACGACGAAATACCTTTTCTATGTTGACGACGTTACCATGCATATCAAAGAGTTCAATGCCATTTAAACCAACCAGATATTTATCGCCCCAATTAGAAAATATTTTGATTTCCAATAATCTTCCTTCAGGAAGTTCTGGAATTATAAATTCACTCTTTGATTTTTCCTTTTGCATGTTTTTGTTAGGTACGGAACTTAAAGAAGCAGGTTTTTTGGTTTGGTTTTTGACAGAAGTTCTGTTTGAACTATCATTTTGTTGTATATTTGTAGATCCTTCTTTAGGAAATAGCTTTTTCCTTAACTTATTGTTCTCTTGGAATCCTGAAATAACAAATGAAATTATCGTATTTATTTACCTATTGCTGGAAGAATCAAACATTATGTACCTACTACTACTACTTACTTTTAAGAATCGGTTGAATACTTACGTGAACCTAAAATAACATCATGAAAATCATCGTCAATAATGTTACTTCGTCTGTGCCGCGGTGTTACGTAGTGAGGCAAAAGGTCATTTAGGAAATCGTTCGAGCTAGCATTTGAAGAATCTCCCCAATCCAGCTTGCCGTTTCGTACAGTATACTTTCGCCTTCCATTTTGGTTGTAGCCTACAATTTTATTACAAATCAATAATGAGTATGGGGCTATTAATAACTCAAGTGTTAAGAATTTTTAATTTAGATAAGACCTTTGTTGTGCCGCAAGGTGCCAGCAGAGTGCGCGACGTTTTGCATCGAGGGTTTCATCATCATGTCGAGCGTAGTATCCAACGAAGTCCTGCGCGTCAACCTGCAATGCAATTTTAGACAATTTTCGTCGAGACTTGTGGTATTCATACGAGAAATACGATAACCTACCTGTGGTTTTCCAGCTTTGAACCGCCATAGTTGAATTTCTGCTCTTCTAGCTGAGATGTATCGCTGCTTATGTGAGTCTCTTTCATCTCCCTGAAAAGTCAGAGCAGTTCCATGGTCTGATAGCGACTAACACTAAAGTGGGACGCAATACAAAAAGGGCTGGTGACCTTGTGTGAACCTTCACACGGAAGTAAAGCTCATTGTGCTGAAAATTAGCTTCGTATTGACGCACAAGTAGGTCATTAATCATTCTGATAGGCACACAACAATTTACTTACTTGGTAATGTCTTCGAGCCAGAACGGTATTTCCCTATCTTTCGACGCGTATTCAATCCCATTTTCTTTATGTGCCATCCTTGAGCCATGAGAGTAAGCTCTTCTAATTTTCTTTCGCAATCAATATGAAAACAGAATACTGAAAATTCATTGCACTGGGGCACAAAATTTTTATGAAATTTTTGAATTTGTCTTTATGTAAAGGATAAAGATTTTTAAAACAATTATTGGTAATTTGTTAACTTCATTCACACTTGCCACTTTTGAAACATATTTTGCCGCTGTTTGTTTGACCTTGGTAACCATGGTAACTTAACTTTTTAAATCAATGAAATCTTCTGATAGCCCAGGCGATGAATTAAAATTAAAGCAAAATGCTTATAAATAAATTATTTATACGTAAAATCCATTTGTTAGTAAAATGTAGCCATAAATCTACAGAATTATTGATTTTATCGAGTCCTCTAGGTCTAGATCAAAAGTCTAATTTCTAAACGTTCCGTTCTTAAAAGCAAGCACCGACTGATTTTTACACGTAAACTCAATCTGTCAAAAATGTCAACTGTCATCAACGTGCGGTGAAAAAATAACCTTACTTTGATCTCTCCGTGTGTTATTAATTTAAATTTAAGAATAAATAAAAGTATTACCGATTGATATAGGGTCAAAAATGTCTGACTCAGATCACAAAAAATTGGAAGAAAGAACCAGTAAGGCCGAAAGGGAAGCGAAGTTGATCGAAGATGAATTGGAAAAGCTCGCCAGTGGTGATCTAAGTTTTGTGAATGATCCTCGTTTAGAAAAGTTGATGACCGACAATGAAAAACTAAAGCATCGATTGGAGATTCTGGAAAATGCCATCAAAGCTACAAGTTCTTCTAGCGGTAAAGCTGCTAAGCCAATTACTAGAAAACGACCAACACTTGTGACTGACATCTCGTCTGTCGAAGGAAACGTGTGTATTGTTGATGAACTGAAAAATGTGTTTTCTCTTGGCATTTTGTCTGCATACCCCGACTTAGAAGACCCGCCAGTAGTCATCACCTTGTCCAGCAATAATCCCAAATTTGGAGACTACCAATGCAACTCTGCGATGCCTATCTCTCAGTTGCTAAAAGCGAAAAATGTCAAAACGAACCCAAGAGAGGTAGCAAATAATATTTTAAACAAAACTCCATCATCCCCACTGATTGAGAGGGTTGAGGTGGCAGGCGCTGGATTCTTGAACATCTACCTCAATAAGGCATTTGTGGAACATGTACTTAATTGTGTTCTCAGGTTTGGTATCAAACCACCTCCAGTGAAGAGAGAAAGGGTCATTGTTGATTTCTCCTCACCTAATATTGCTAAGGAGATGCATGTAGGGCATTTGCGATCAACAATCATTGGAGAAAGCGTCTGCCGTGTACTTGAATTCTTAAACCATGATGTACTGAGAATTAACCACTTAGGAGATTGGGGTACTCAGTTTGGAATGCTGATTGCCCATTTGCAAGACAAATTCCCAAACTTCAAGACCCATTCTCCACCAATTTCAGATTTACAAGCTTTTTACAAGGAATCTAAGAAAAGATTTGATGAAGATGAAGAGTTTAAGAAGAGAGCTTATGCTTGTGTGGTTCAGCTACAATCTGGCCAGCCCGACTACATTGCTGCCTGGAAGTTAATATGTGAAGTCTCTCGTAGAGAATTCCAAAAGATTTATGACAGGCTTGATATTAAAATTATTGATCGAGGTGAATCTTTCTACCAGAGCAGGATGGATGTTGTTGTGAAGGAGCTCAAAGATAAAGGCTTACTAGAAGAAGATGAGGGGCGATTGATTATGTGGGGAAATGCAGAAAAGCATGATGGAATTCCTTTAACTGTGGTCAAGTCTGATGGTGGTTACACCTATGACACTTCAGATATGGCAACTATAAAGCAACGTGTTGAAGAAGAGAAAGGAGACAGGTTCATTTATGTCACGGATGCTGGACAGGCCACTCATTTTGTAGTTATTGACGCTTGCGCCCGACGAGCTGGGATTCTCAAGGAAGGTCAAAATGTTGAGCATGTTGGCTTTGGTGTTGTTTTGGGTGAAGACAAGAAAAAGTTCAAAACTAGATCTGGAGATACAATTAAACTAATTGATTTACTTGATGAGGGGTTGAAGAGGTCCCTTGATAAATTAGTTGAAAAGGGAAGAGATAAGGTTTTGACTCCAGAGGAACTGAAGAAAGCTCAGGAAGCAGTTGCCTATGGATGCATCAAATATGCAGATTTGTCCCATAACAGGGTCAATGACTATGTATTCTCATTTGATAAAATGTTAGATGATAAGGGCAACACAGCAGTGTATTTACTGTATGCCCTGACCCGTATCAGATCTATTGCTAGGACTGCTCAGATTTCAATAGAACAATTGTTGGAGGAAGCTCAAAAGACAGGCTTCAAATTCAGCCATGAAGCTGAATGGAAGCTTGGAAAAGTCCTTTTGAGATTCCCTGAAGTTATACTTAAAGTAGCCAATGACTTATACTTGCATAGTTTGTGTGAATATCTTTATGAGATATCATCTACATTCACAGAGTTTTATGACAAATGTTACTGTGTAGAAAAAGACAAAGAGGGAAAGATTGTTAAAATAATCTATGAGAGATTGATGCTTTGTGAAGTCACTGCTAGAATCATGGAGAAGTGCTTAGATATACTTGGTATTAAAACAGTTTCTAAAATGTAAATGGCAGAAGTGAAAGTATTAACTACATAAGCAGACTATTTGGTATTTACCATATTATACTATTTAAGTATATCACAATATTTATGATCATACTAATATTTAAGAATTTGCGACACTAACTGTTTTCTAAAAGAAATAAAATACTAGTAAAATTAATTTGTATACTTTTATTGAGTTTCCAAAAACCTCTACAAAACTATATCAGGGTCCATTATCAAAGGTAACATTCATGAAATAACTATTTATCTGTTTAGAAAATTATTTAGAACATTCACTGGATACACAATTACAAAGATTCTGACGATTGTATTTATTAGCTTACGATCTAATGTTACATTAAAATACCATATAGACAACAAGTTAAAATGTTTTTCTATTAATCTTGTTTTATTAAAATTCCATAGCCAGATTCCACTATTATTATTATTTAAAATTCAATTAATAAGTTATGCCAGATTCATTACATCTTACAGACCTATGTAAATATTTTTCACTACTTGAACATACATTACACAACAAATATTATATCACATTATCATAACTAGGTATTATTCAAGTGAAAACTATGATACTTAGCACGGTGGGAGCATAATGAGAAGGTAGTAATACATCAGTAAGTTCCTAGCTCTACGTATGTAGATTTTAAAATTATGTTTGGGAATAACAAAAAGACATCGCAATTATTTAGTGTTCTTTTATTGAAGTTGTTAAAGTGGAGGAAAAATGTGAAGCCCTTATACAGATACTGACCATCAGACTTGGAGCATCACCATTGTGGAACTAAAATACTTCAAGTTTTAAGGTTATTTTTGTATACCTACATACATTTTTTTTTTCAATATGAATTCCATGTCCGAAAAATTTATGCAAGCCTCGTTGGCTAACATCTTGATCTAACAATCGATTATGTTTCTACGTGAATGCACAAACCAGGGAAATGTTTACACAGTTCAATACTTTCATTATATCAGTTAACATATAATATTCATGCCAATTAATTACGAATATTAGGTAGGTACTTGTAATAAACTTTACAGACGTAGTATTGAAATAGAAGTAATGATGTTTACATACTAATTTAACGCGCATGCAAGTACAACCAATTGGTATACTAAATTTCATTCATCAGAAGACCACGAATCTTTGGAAGACCAAAGCTGAATACGTAATTATACGTATAATAGGGTCAAGGAGGCAACAGTGACTCGGTCGGCTACAGTGGCTCAGTCAAGTTTCGACCTGAAGGTATAGGAATATATATTTGTCTCTTTTACCGATTCAAAGGTCTTTGTACCCGAACACGTTTAAACCAGTTTGCTCGCCGGTCAAGTGCCGTGCGGAAGGGTGAGGGAATGTTTTTTGTTTTCGCGCCCTCTAAATTACATTCTAAGGTGAGTTTCGATTGTTTTCATATCTTTGTTTGTTGCTATAGGTAATAGCCGTTATATTTATCGGATAGAAGGTCTTGTATCAATTGTCTTTAATCCGAATTTTGACTAATTTGTTTTACATCTTGGTTTTTTTGATCAAATATTTACAAAATGGCGTAGAAGTACACAGTGACTCAATTTTAATACTTTATACGAATTCAATATTTTATAACTGTAAATCGAATTTTGTTTTTTATTCACAGAATGCCACGGAAAAAAACCGACAGAAAAATAGGGAAAAAATAAATAACGAAGAGATTGAGATGACTTAAGATCTTATAGGTAGCAATAAAAGTACTAAGAGTCGTGTTGAATTGTTGATTATAATAAGAATAGCTTGTGCAGTTTTGTTATTATTTCTAATAAAAAACTACGCGGAATGGGCATTTTCTTTTCATATAAATACTGCCTTACCACGTTAATACTGTGTACCACGGTAGTGAGTCAGTGTGTACACCTAGTAGTCCACAGTGGCTCAATTATCATTTTTTTGTTTTAGGTTCCTAATTTGACATAAGTAGTAAATAATGTAGAATCATGAGTGCTCAGTTACAGTTCAATAGTGTATCTAAAATGTGAGCAAATTTTAGGCCAATATTAAAGCGATATCTATTTTTATTAAGCTTCGAAAAAAAAGTGAGTCACTGTTGCCTCCCTGACCCTACATTAATTTTATGAGATTCTAAGGACTATTTTATACATGTTACTGTACAATTCAATTGGCTTATTAAACCATAAAGATCTTTTAGGTTTGGCATATTGAATAATTGAATTAATTAAATTACCGATAGGACCCTATTTAGACCCGAAGTGTAAACTAAAACCCAAAAAGAATAAAGTTTCACCATTCCCTACTTAAAAATACTTTGCACTCTTAGAGGATACTAATAAACATTAATTTCCCTAACTGGAATATAAAACCCTATTTATCATTTAGATAGATGTTCTACAACCCGATACCATTGTTTACCTAAAAATAAAACTACAATTTTCTGTTTTTCTAAATTACAAAATAACTTTGAACATTAGTTTCGAATTACATAGGTAATATATACGAATAATTTCACCGACATGGTAGGTTGATTAACCATGAGTTTTGTGCAATTATGTATGTTGTATTATACCAAATTACCCTGTGACAACCTTGACTAACCGGCATGAAATGGGTTCACCAAACATGTACTGTTTATGTTTAGTATAATATTGTTTATTCATTTTCGATAGAACTCATTTAGATGTCAAGGATATAAGAACTTAAAAGTTAGTCCTCATTTCTCAAAACAAATACATTGAGAAACATAACAATAATGACTAAAATGGTAACTACATAATTTTGATTAGTAAAAAATAAATAAAAGTTGTTTATAAAAAATTAGTTAGCCTCCATTATAAATATTTTGAGATCACAATACCAATATTTGTCCATCGAAAATGAGCAATAGCGAAAATATGTTGTAAGGCTGAGCTTGGCAAATGAAAGTTTATGGTACATAGTTCAATATAATCTGTCGCAGTGTTTCTCGACTAACTACTATAAATAACTATGATATTTCCGTCTGATATTTTGATTCCAGCCCTTCATTTGCCAGACTAGCCGGTAGGTAACGATCGGGTTTCATACAATAGATTCAATAATATCACGCTATTTCGACAAATATGTTTGTAGCAAACTGACTAGAATTAAATAATAAATTGTCGATTCATCGGTCTGGACAATCCTTTGATTTAAATTAGGTAAATCATTAATTCAGTTTAGTTCAAAATTGTTTTACAACACAATGGTGTGTTGTTGAGGAATCGTTCGTTGAGAATCGTCCGACAGTTGGAACTGCGAGGCGCATTGATGTCACTCCGTCCCACTTCAAACAGAATCGATTGTTCTTGTATCAGACCACCCGCGAACAATGCACAGTGATCTCTCGCATCACATCATTATTAGTAAGTAGGTTAGTAACAGTATGGCATAAAATTCGACTCACAAATTGCGAAGGTTCCATTAAAATCCTAATATAAGTTTCAATTTGGAAGTCTAGCAAAAAATTACCTATTCACATGAATGATTGAGCAATTCTTAACAAATCTATGTTGGGACAATAAATAAGTCTAATTAAATAAGTAGGTAGTGAGGAAAAACATACGATAAGTATAGGATATTCATGACCGTTAAAATTTAAAACCTATGAGATAGATAAGAGTGGTACATTGAACTAGCTACGCTAAAATGTATAACCAACTAACCTAGGGAAAAGTCACATTGAGGTGTATAAAAGATCTCGCTGAAAAAAACTGGATATATATAAGAATAGGTATAAACGTTTCTAAAAACCCCGTTACATTTATATAGGTACTCTAAAAGGGTTGGATTGGTCTCGAGATTCTGAGATACGACTACAACGCTACAACAATACAATAAGTTCAACAATATCTTACAAAATATACACACATTTCGATCATAACTAGATATTTGGCCGAACGCTTCCATGCTGTTCGCTGCCACGAAACGAATTACCAAATTATCAGCTCTGCAATCGATAATCGATGCCTATCTCTAAAATGACTATGAGTATGGTAATCAGATCTATAGTTGCTTACAGTTAAAGGGCACAGGTAGGTAGATATGCAAACGCGTTAGGTCAATCCGACAGCATGGAAATGAGTCAAGTGGAATGATGTACGTACTCGATCGTCAAGTGAGTGGATAAAAGGCTCAGATTGGTGTACAAAGGTCCGGCCGGTGGCGATCGCTGATTGTTAGATTGTTTAATCTGCGGCCTTGCGGTCGAGTTGGGGTACAAAAATAGGTAGAGAGCTCTAGAAGGAGATTCGGGCAGTCTTTAGGATTTGAGTTCGGGGAAGAGGTGTCGGAGGATGGCGAGGTAGTGGACCGTGGCGGCGAGGGCCACGAACACGTGCCATATTGCGTGCGCGAAGGGGATGCGTCCGTCCGACTTGAAGAAGAACACGCCCATCAGGTACAGCATGCCGCCCAGCTTCAGGTCGTACATCGCGGGGAACTGGTGCTGCGGGCAAACAAACATAGATTAACATACATTAAAAAATATTCTTATTTGGCACAGAGAACTTCATTAAAGAATTCCTACAAATATTATAAACGCAACAGTTTGTTATACGGATGTTTGTTCCTCACGCAAACTACTAAAAAGGGTTTTGATTAAAGGACATTGTCAGAAACCGCCTAAAAAACCGCCAAAAAACATTAACCCATCATAATTATTTTCTATTTTTTTTAATACATTAAGCACCCTTTCGTTCTAATGGACACTTAAGCATTGAAAAATTAAATAAATAAGTCTTTTAACGTTTATTCTATAATACTATTACAACTTCCGGACGTTTTGGTGCGTGGCATGGTCTAAAACCTATCAAGTTCCATAATTTTTGCCGATAAAATCTGTACGAGGCATTACCGTACTTTATTGCTGGGAGTCCATGTATAGTGATGTTCCTGCGGCCATCATAGACAATAAAATATCGATTTTGAAAATAAAATAAATCGATTAAACTGCTTTGAAGACTAGATTTGCGTTAAAAGCTAAAAAGATATTGACACTATTACAAGAAGCTATCTAAAGTGTCCAACTGGTCGAAGGTCGTAAATAAAATAAAAATAATTAGGACCATAAACTGATATTCATGGTATCATAACTGTAAAAGTGTCAGAATCCGATGTTGAATCCAATGCCAGTTGAAGTGTGAGAAACATATATNAAACATTTTTCGCGAATCGGTGTTCATACATTCACTTAATACATTAGACGCCATGTTGTCATAAACGACATATTATAAAATCGCTGTGATTTAATATTCTTAATCATTAATTTTATGGCAAGTGTCCATCAGGAATCATTGTTCTTACACACAGAATCGTATTATTTCGCTTTCGGGTAGTAATATGTCAAAATTGTTGGTTCTTAGGCGAACAATGTATGGAGAACGAACATTGTCCTTTACAGTTATTATCGTTTACAGTATTCATTAGATTAATAGCTATAATTTATAACAATCTGTGAGAAACTGAAATTCACGCGAGCGTGCATAAGCTTGTGTTCACATTAGGCTTTTTATTTATGAAAATAACATTCGCGCAAAAATACCAACTTGTGAACAAAATCTGTGAAAGAAAGACGAAAACCTCGTGAGCGGAGGCCAGAAGTTAGTAGTATTATCTCATACCTCATTACTTCGACGAAAAGAAGTACTTATGTATTAATGCAGATGTGGTTCCGCAGTTAAACAAAAATCAAAATACTAATATGCCGTGCCTATAATAAATGCTATGCTCATGCTGTGTCAAGGGAATTAATGAGAAAATATACGTTTTAGGGCCGATTTTTCAATCGTCAGATAACTTTTAACCGAAGAATAAGTTTGACATATTTCCCATACTAAAACTGTCAATGTGCCAAAGTTATTCTTCAGATAAAAGTTATCCGACGATTGAAAAATCAGGCCTTAATCGAGTAATAACGTAGATAATGCATCGCACGCTACTACAGCTATTAATCCAGCGCGGCAATATTTACGGGCCAATATCCTAATCGAGTAATGTAGAAACAATGTCGCATCGTAAACAATAACCATGAGTGAATTTATTATGGTTAGACTATTAGAATGAGTGAGTATTGTGCATTTAAAATTATAAGTAGGTACTTATAATTTTAGATAGGTATCTAATTTAGCATGAGCCATGTCTCTGAGCGTGTAGCTTCGTACGTGCCCAGACAGAGAGCACATAGGGGTCTCTCCAAGCCCAAAGACACTCCCTGTATATTCATAAAACATGTGGAAATCCAGAAAGCCTTCAGTTAGAATTCTAATAAGGTTCTGTAATATTTTTTCTTGAAATAGCAAGGTTTTGAAGCCTGTCTTCATATTGCAGTTTTTTTTATGCAATACAAGGCGGGTATCTGACTGCAATCGCACCTGGTGTTAAGTGAGATGCAGTTTATTGGATTCTATACGGGTTCCAAATACCTAAAGGCTAAGTTGCAGTTTTGGATTTGTTGAATAGGAACGTACAAAATGATTCATGAAATAAAATCCTGAATTCCTAGATGTATTTTAATAATATTGCACTTTATGCATGAAAAATGTTCCTCTCCAAAAGTAATGTCATTCTCAGTACAGTCGCATGCAAAGTATTAAAACAAAAGCAATAGAACCAACACGTTCGACTTGATTTCCAAGTGTATACGAATACGTTGCGAAAACTACGTGCTCTATAAATATTGGACTCAAAGAAAACCGGTAATACACATAGTGATTTGCCGATTTTTTTTAAGGCGACGGACACAATACGGCATTAATATTCATAGGCCGATCCAACAATTTGGTGACACGACAACCTCTAATCGGTTGTTAGTTATTTAAATAAAATATTAGAACATTGATAAATGGTATAAAACCAGGGCGAAGGGAATAGAAGAATTTAGTTTAGTTAGAGGTTCCCACAAATTCTCATGTTATCATCTCTTCTAACTATGGAATAGATAGTGGTCTTGGTCAAGTTAAAAGACGCGTAATTTAAATCTAAATTCCAGCGAGCTAAACCTGGTGGTATTCATTTCTTTATCTAATGTATTAAACAATTTATTAAGCTATTAGGGATAATAATAAAACCCTTCCACAAAGTAGGTATATTGGGCAATAACTTTATGAAATCAATTCGCTTTATGGCTAGCATTCCGCAGCCTTGAAGAGAAATTAAATTCAAGTTATGAAATGCCGTAGGTAGTGGGACTCATTGACATAATCATTTATCATTTCTTCGTTTTTCTTCTTAAGTCTTCAATTATTTTATCTTTTAGAAAACTTTAAGATAAAAAAGATATTGAAATTATGGAATGTTATCTCTATTTTTGTTTGCTTTTGCCACGAAAACTGACGTATGTCAAAGCCATGTTTACATAGATTTTGTCTACAGTTACATTTCCCATATTATGTTAGATACTACAAACAGTTATGAAACCTGTCACTCCATGGCGCGATGGCGTGTTTAACTAAATATTGTGAGTTATTACTTATGTTTGTATTTTTTGTATCTGTCTACACTCTACATGCCGAAGGACCTCATAAACCTGAATAGTTAGTTGACATTTTCGTAGAATATGTATTTGTTTTGCTGCTTGGCCCACAAATCTTTGAAGGATATACCTACAAAAGCGCGTTTTATTAGACTTTTTCGGATACGAATGTCCGAGTCGCAATTGATCGATATTTTATCGAAGTTAAAATGATTTTTATTCACCTACTATGTTATGTAATGTATTTGCTATTTCGTACTTGTGCCCAAGCAGGCATCGCGAGTGCCTGACCCAATGGCCCGTCCAAGGCGAACCACGTTAAATATTTCACGTTCTAAGTAACAAACAACTTAGAAACCGTACTCCATTCGATTTCGTTATTTAATTAGAGTGGAATGGGAATGAAAATCAAATGAACGTTTTTCATTGTTTATATTACTGTTTGATTACATTTTTATACTGATTTGCGTACCGGCAAGTAAATTTTGTGCATAACGACCAGCTTTCGACAAGGTCAACTGGGGAAATATGACATTAAAAGTAAAGTAGTAGCGTAATACATTAAAATACAAGTGAAACAGTTGATAAAAACATAAAAAACTTGTTTTCAACAAAGGCACGCTCACTCACATCCACTTCAAATATTTTTTTAACAAGTTTTCTACGTAAATACTAGAATATTAATTAATTGTTTGTTAAAAGGCAACTCTGTTTATCTTAGTGTAAATGTGTTGTTACTTTTTCTACCTGTATTTTTAAAACAACAGTTAACGTCGCCATAAAATTAGAGGAGAGAGCATATAAAGCGGAGTGACTGCAGCCTAGTTTTTTATTGCAATTTTGACCTCTTTATTTATGGCAAAACTACAAAATTGGAAAATAAATGTACAAAATGTGGGAAAGCCACCCGTATGATAGAAAGTAATCATCTTATACCAACAAAACATATTATGGCATTGATTTGTTTGCTTGACATTCATGTAGTAATTAACCTTTGGATTACCAACTTAATGACTGACTAGCTGGAATCTAGATAGCTAGTCTAAATAAAGTGTCATCAGGCAAAGTGAATAAGGCACAAAAAACTAGCGAATATTTTGCGCATCTTGTAAAGAAAATTAAAGAAATAATAATAGATCTCGAAATTACTGAAGCAAATATTTAAATAAACATTATTTTACTCTGCAATCAAAGATAGTCAAGTAGTATTACCGTGGTCAAGTTGATGATAGCTATGTAGAGGCTAATTTTAGTATCCATTTTGGTTGATATTGTTTGTTTGTAAATTTGTGAATATTAATTTATTGGCACGGATTATACATACGGATGGCGGTACATCAATACAAACACTAGGTGGAATTGGCATCTATGTAGTTGTACCTACTAGGTACGGTGAAAGATGTATGTATAAGCGTCGGAAAATCACGACTTTAATTATACAACCCAACTTCAACTCTTAGATTAAGAGCTGGTGAACGCCAGACCTACGTCATTTTATAAAAGCTGAAAGTTTGTCAGCGTATGGTCCCAATATAGGATATAATGTTGGTGAATCATGAAGTTTGGGTTATCGTGGCTTTGGCAGCTATCTTAAAAAAACTATCTGGCAAGGAGTTGGAACTGTCAAAACTCTCTGGCTGATGTGGAAACAACTTCTAATCATTGCCCTGTCAACGCTTCATACAACAACATTCACTACTTAGCTCTTAATCTATCTCTTCAGTGTCTAAAAGTTATTTATCTATCTCGCCTATGATAACTAGCGCAAAGGTCGCAAGGGCAAGCCGCAAACGACAATGCAGGCCGACCTCTTGTGCAACGTATTCATGTATGGAAATTCAGAGATAGGGCTTCCGAGCCACGTGACATCGTTGCAGTGACCGGTGACGTAGTCCACTTATAGCAACCGCACGAATTGCACCTGGCCTGGTCCACATAAAGCACCTATCGATATCACTATTCGTGGATTAAATATTAACACCTTCGCTGCCAGCCTAAAAATGGCACTGTTCCGTTCGGGCCATGGGGGACAATGATGGGCGACACTTTAACTTTCCGTTCGGGCCGCGTCGGACAATGATGACCGCGAGTCAGACCTATGTTTAAACCTCTGTATTGAGCCGATGGGCAGCATTTCTTCAATAATTCTCATATAAGCTGACCCGCGCGGCTCCCAAGATTAGTGTACGTCACTTGGTTCTTAGGTAAAGCTCGGACTTAGAAAAAAAAAATGTGGATAACGGTAGCGCAATGAAACATGGTAATTATACAATGCATTTTTGCAAATTTATCAACTTTTTAGCAAGATAATAACGGTTTATTAATTAAAACATATCGTTTACTTATTTTATATAATTTATAATATGCAGGACAATAAAAAAAATCACCTTCATTGTTGAACAACCACTTTGTATGAAGGGTTGGTACAGGTAGCTATGGAATGTATCTAGGTGACCTGGAGATACAGCCGGATTATACAGGGTGGTTATACATATGGAACGATAAGTGATCTCACTCGATTATTTCTAAACTATACAAGATATCGAAAAACTAGTTACTGATTCTGAAAGTGCTTCACGAGCTCTTTCAAATGGTACCAATAATAGGTTACAGATTATGGAAACTGGTAACATTGAATTTTTGGATTTTGTAACTTCTCGTTTCCACCCTGTATAATCCGACTGTATCTCCAGGTCACCTTGATACATTCCATAGCAGCTATTTAGGTACATACATTTACCAATTTTGGTGATAAATAGGCATTTTGTATTAGTTTTTGTATGACGCCTAAACAAAAACAAAGGGTAATAATTTGGTGTTATACATAGATTTCGAATATAAAAAATATATAATTTAACTAATTAAGACATGACAAAAAAACTGAGGTATGTCTCGTTTCTGTCGGGCCTGGGTCACAGATGACCGTTCTTCTTTATTTTTACATTTTTGTCCAAGAGAGAGAGAACAAAATATCGATAGGTGCTCTATGTGGACTAGGCCAGGTGCTATTCGTGCGGGTGCTGTAAGTGGACTACGTCGTTGCAGTTGCTATGCTATACAGCGCTTTGTTTTTAACTCGATAAGTGCTTTAATCTCTGGAGCCCCGTTGACTCATTCTTAATTCATCAAACGATTGTTTTTCTATTGTCTGTTATTGCGGCATGCGAGAGGTTAAAAATGATTAAGACCTGAAGCGTTTCATCGAAATAAAAGCAATAAATGTATTACATAGACTTATATGTCCGTTTTCACCATCAATCCCTAATTTGTAAGTGACCCCTATTTGTTAACACATAACAGGAATTTTGTTTTCAAAGGGGTCACTTAAAAATTTGGGATTGACGGTGAAAACGGGCTTTAATCTCTCATAGTAGCCTTTTAAAGTATCAGTTCGGAATTAATGACCGTAAAATTCGGTATTGATAAAAAAGCAATTAAGTCGTTAAACCGCTCTTAGTGGTTTAAATATTGAATACAATCTGTAACTTTATATCATACTGTTATGCCGACCATAATAGGAAATACATTAAGGGATAATCTAAATATAAACATCAATTAAAAGAAACGCATTTTCTTGAAGAGGTTTAGAAGTAACTCTAAACTCTAATGATAAAAGAAACACATCTCAGTCTAACGCCCGTATTCACAAACTGCTTGTGAAGCAACAAATCGAACAAACAGCGTTGAATAGAGCTTTGTGATTGGTTCGTGTGTCACCCTGTGCGTCCAAGCGCACTGTGAGACCTCATAGTAATGTTTGTAAATATGGGCGTCAGTCTCATGACGTGCTCATAATGACATCTCAATTAAATTGCAGGTTTGACATGACCACAATACATGTAGTAAAGTTATGTCTACTTACGTTGGAGGTAATGATTATGGCAGCGGGTCCCAGTCCCATGACGAGGTAGAGAAGCAGCTCCAGCATCTTGTACCGCTCGTGGAAGATCTGCTGGTAGGTGATCCCTAGCACCGCCAGCAGCCAGATGGCCCAGCGAAGTTCCCGGAGCATCCAACAGGATAATGTCCCGACAGTTAGCCAGGGGAAGTACGAGCTTGCGATGAAGATGTATATCATGGCCCGGTCGCAGCGGTGGAGGAAGTGCTTCATTCTACTGGAAAAATATAAAGCGTTAGATAAGCGTGAAACCGCACAAGACCGAAGAAAACAGGAGGCCAAGAAACACGTTTAGGGTCGCTGAGCCATCTGAGTAAGTAAGATAAGCCTTGAACGTAGAACGCGAACGTGCCTATTCGTATAAGCAAGGCTCTGGAGAAAAGAAGAATCCAGTTTTTTTTTATAAAGCAGACCTTTATTTATAAAACTGGATTCTTCTTTTCGAGGCCGCATTATTCGCTTTCTTACTCTTTTCGAGGCCGCATTATTAGGTCATCATCAGCCACCACAATCCCAACTTGAGTCAAGTTTAAATGATCAGCCTATCGATTTTAGAACAAACTAAAAATACAGGGTCTGAAGTTCTGAACGTCCGAAGCTGAAAAATTGAGGTCACATAGAATTTTTATAATAGCATCACTATGTAATTCTTCATTAAATAAGGTATAAACGTCCTCCTACGTAATAACAGACTTCCGTTTCGGCCTCGTGGAAGCCTTAAGACAGCTTACATAAGGATTATGTCTATTTTTACATCATCCATCACCCCTTTTCCTTACGCGTGGGCTATATCGGTCGCAGGTGAAATATTATACGTCATTTGTCTTCTTTATTGGACCGAACCGCTTCCGAAACTTAGTGGTGCTAAGGTACAGATGGACGGTATATCAAGGTAAAATTGTGGTATCTTATGTGGTTGAAATAAGGGCGATTTTGGAACAAAAATGTATGGTCAGATGTGCTATAGGTAATAGGTTTAACCCTGGCGAACATAATACTTCCTACAAATATAATAAAGACGGAAATCTGACAATAGTCGAACGAATATGGATTATTTGTAAATAGAGATAAATTATGCTGTGGAAAACATTGGATACATTTAGTCTGCCATTAAGTTATTAGGAAAACACATAGCTATCATCATCAAACATCAGATAATGGCAGTATTTGCTGTTAGTTTTTATACTAATAACTGTAATTATGTAATGTTTGTTTTAAAGTTGGAGTCCTGTAACCGAATTACTGATTGAAATTTTTAAGGCTTTCTTCAACCACGGCATTTACATTTTCCGGAGGCATATTTTTTTTTTATCCACAACGAGGAAGCTCTTGGCCTGTATCTCACCTGATAGTAAGTGACGATCAGGCCGAAGGTGGAAGCGAGCTTCACCCGGAATCCTCAACCACGGAGGAACTGGCTATCTTACCTCTAACTGCCGGAACACAACAATGCTGTTAACATTGTTGTTATGGCGACAGATTAGGTAAGATGGTGGTAGCAAGCCAGGCGGACTTAGAACAGCCCTACCCTACCACCAACCAAACCGAACAGAAAAATCTGCCCCCACTGGGAATCGAACCCGGTACCTCTGCGTCTGAAGCAGGTGGTCTACTCTAACCACTAGACCACAGAGGCGGTTAAATTAAATATCTTTTTAAAGCAGGTGATAGTAAGCAAAGTTATCTGGTTTTACCACTACTTGTTTGTTGTTTTATCCCAGAAAGAGTCACTTTTACAGTAAGTTTTTAAAGACTTTGTAAGACTTAAGATTTACAAAAAACAAAATGCAAATTACAACTTAACGATAAAAATTAATTATGCAATCTCACTCAATCAATTAAACTTTTACGATTAGACGTTACGTGCATGCGAGAATATCTATTAATTCTATGATAACATCCTAATTAATAAATTAGTGTATTGAACACGCAACTAAACAATCGGAATTCCAGATTACGAATAGGTACGTGTGCTTATTCAAGTAAATTGGTTATTTGATTTATTAACGAGCACCGGGTTGCTATGAGATAGATCTGCCTGGTTTTATACGGTAGTGGGAATATAGTTCCCACCAAATTTTGAACTTTATTCCCTTGTCTTAAGGCCCAAAAACAATTAAAAATTTGGACTTGTTAAAGGCTTAATTAGAGTCATTAACCACATCCCCCACACCAGCCTCCTACCTCTCTCGAGTTCATTAATCATTCAATGAGCATTTTGTCCGCACTCGAAACGTGACTTGCGTGACCGTAATGAGGAAAGATTAGTTACTTACTTACAAGTTTTATAGGGCGTTTAACGAAAGCTATTACCGAAATTAGCTGTTCCAAAATGAATGGACTGTTTGGCTAGCTGACGTCGCGGTGGGACTATTAGGCCATTAACACCTCTCATTCCTTTATACAGTTTTCTCTCAGCGGCAAATTCTATGTAAGTGTCATCTTAGATGTTCTAGACATGATATCAAGAAGTTAATTTTTAAATGTGTCATACAACGATGTCTGATATGTCGCAAGAATTTGTCTGACATGACTAGAGACATTATGTAGGGCATTTGTCCCTTGGAGAATACTTTTATACCATTTGAAGGTGGAGGAATGTTTTTGGACTTTTCAACTAATATTGGCAGCTTGAAGGAGATACAATGTTTTTGGTCATTTCAACTAAGAGTAGGCGCACACCGTTGATTTTTAGTTGGCCGATAGTTGTGCCCGATTTCAAATTGTATGAAGAATCGGCCAAATCGAATCGGCGTAGTGTGCGCACTCCCATACATGCCCATACTGATCAACAGCCCGACTAAACTATCGGCCGACGAAAAATCAACGGTGTGCGCCTACTCTAAGGCTCTTCTTGATTTCGAAGACGACGTGGTAACAAATCTAATAACACTCTTATAAAATTTACAATAGCTATTGGATTGAAATTCAATGCTCAAATGAAATAAATTCTACACGTAGATCTAGTGCTATGCAATGAAAGTTTAAACAAACAATTTTCGTTTTCAGTCGGTCCTTTTTAAATCAGTTTTGTACCTGACTCCATTAAATATAAACGAAATTGAATTGGAGGATACACAAACAAGCCAGCATCATGAGAATGGAAAAGTTATTTCAGCGGTGTACCCACAATTCAGTATTTATTTTATGAAATAAGTATTCCAAACATGAAACCAACATAAAGTGAAGAAACAGAAGCTTCTGAAGAAAAACTTCGGTTCGTTTTTACGCGATTTCTAGAGAGGGAAAGTTTTCGATCGAGAGTATGTATAACTGGTATTACTATGTATTTTCGTCTGATTCATTTTGAACTTAGTTACATAGCATTATTTTATGGCTGATGGCTTTTTGATTTGCTAATGAGTTTCAAACGTTCAGGGTAAGATACTTAAATTTTAATGGTGTAAGTTATACCACAAGTTATACTTAGTAAATTCAGTTTAGAGACGAAGATTCAGTGAAACTTTTAATAATATAATTTGAACTTTTACTGAACTTTGAAGAGTTTACCTATTGAATAGAACGATATGAAAATTATTTTTAAATATCAATTTCATAGGAGTCGCTGAAGATCATTCAACATGCATAAAGGCATAATTATCTAAGCCAAGCTTATACTCTGGCTGTGTACGTGGAATCAGAAGATGTTTGTGATGTGCTCCCCGAACCTGAACTCATATTATGACCTCTGTCATACCTAGCAGTCCGGTAGGTACGTGAACCATCAGACCAAGCGACCTTGCCTGAATTTAGTACTGAATTTTATGCTCGTACACTGCCCTTACGTGACGTCATTTGCAATCTCGTAGGACTCTAACAATGTCTCACATTGTAGTTTCTTTAGCATGTGTTGTAGGGCCTGTTCTCCTGTTTGTTGCCGGCTGAAAGCTTGTCTCAACATCTACAGACGGCACGTCTATTATTTGCAAATATCGATGCGTTATAAATAGCTTTTCTCCGATAAAGGCCGGGGCGTGGGAGGGGCGCTAACACTTGCGGCTGTCGATAGATTGTCTCTAAGTTCCACTTATAGAATCTCTTGGGCGTTGCATCCCTGCCTTTATAAATGCGGTATTAGATCTGTCTGCTTTCGTTATCTCGTGTAAACCGCTGATTAATTTCGTTAAGAAATAGATGGGAGCGAAAAAATGTTGTAAAAATAAAGGATGAAATTTTTACGAACCTATAATTTATCTTCGCGATATGAAAATGCTTTTAGTAGATACATATTATGTGTTTTTTATGAGACGCGCGCGGATTTGCATGGTTTTTCGTTACAGGCAGAATTTACAGCAGAATAAACTATACTTAGGTTCTTATAATAAACTATACGTGGCCTGCCTTTAATAACTATTAGGCTAGATGACAAAATTTCAATTATTTGTCCGTTAGACAGATAATTAGAAAATATTAGACTCATATTTTTTATTTTCTTTCATAATTAAATAATAACAATGCTACATCGAGTTGAAATGGCGCGTTACGTCACGCTTGAGTAGATTTTTTACTCAAAAGTGACGTCACGCGACATTTCAACTCAATTAATACTGTAACTATTCGATTAAAAAAAAATATGTGTCCAAAAATTTTTTATATCTGTCTGACGGACTAAATAGAATTTCAATTTCATTACCCAGTCATCATCCCTAATAGGGATAGGAACCATTTTATAAGATCGTATCTAGACGCGACGACGAGACTCACGGTTCAGTTTCCATCGCGACAATACTTCGACATTACAGTCAGTAACCAACTGAAGGCTGTGTATATTAACGCAATATTATGTGAACGTTAAGTCTGTAAACTTTAAGCTCCTATCTCACTGAAACACGCCTACGCACGTCTGGCGTCCCACGAGTTTGATAGGACTTAATAAAATTAAAGTAGTACCTGACTAGACTAAGCTTAACTATAAAATCGTACCTGTAATAATAAAGAGAGACAGATAGGACGTACTACGTTGTTGGTATGCGACCAGTAATTTTTGGAACTACAGCACTCTATTGCAAAAATCATTCATTGTTTGAAGAGAACATTTTATTTATTTAAAAGCTTTATTGTACAAAAGGCGAACTTAGTAACGTGTGGAATTTTCTACCAGATAATCTTAAAGATAACATTTAGGCCAGAGATTTTGAGAATATTAACCAAGAACATAATATTCACATTATTATTATATTATTAACCCAGAGACAGAAGCTAGTTATGCAAGCATAGTGGGTTTTCTGTCTAAGTAACATCGTTATTCTTGTCATCAGTAGCAAAAAAAATATGTAAGTATGTAATTCAATTCAAACACTCAGCTGGAAAACGAAACGAAAAAAATCTACTGAAGTTTCAATTATAGAATTCCATTTATAGAAGCGTCAATCATCCCAACTAATATTATAAATGCGAAAGTAACTCTGTCTGTCTGTCTGTCTGTCTGTCTGTTACGCTTTCCCGCTTAAACCTCGCAACCGATTTTGATGAAATTTGGCATAGAGATAGTTTGAGTCCCGGGAAAGAACATAGGATAGTTTTTATCCCGGTTTTTGAAACAGGGACGCGCGCGATAAAGTTTTTCTGTGACAGACAAAATTCCACGCGGGCGAAGCCGCGGGCGGAAAGCTAGTGCTGAATACTTCAACAATGGCCGGGCTATCCCCGAGTGCTTATCATACTTCCCCCGGGAACAGAGTAATAAAATAATTCGGAAAGGTCTGCCGAAATTGTTTCAGTTTCCAGAGATTACTTCATGAAAACGAGCTACAACATTTATAAATGGCGAAAGGTTCTAGAGACTTATTCTTTTGTTAGCTCAAAGTAGGAGTGAACAAAGTAAGTTATTATTTTTTACCCGTATGACCTGACTGTGATACGACTGAACAGCTTCTCTTGCACTTAAAATGTAAGGCTCCGTTTTTTTAAACGAGAGCTTTTCAGTTTCTATTGCCATCGAGTAAATTAAAATTAGAAACTGTTCTTCCTTGTCAGACTTTCATTTTTCTCTACAGCAAAAAAGAAGCAGTGATGCAAAGGATCGGTACGGGATGCGTAAAACACTTCTGTGCACCGCACCTAATGGAAATTTGAACTAGCACTTACGTGTCAGATCGGCAGCAGCATACGGAGTGGAAGGTGGTTGAGACTGCAAAAAGGAGGCATAGGGCCAGCCCGTACACCACCGCGGCGATCGCTTGCGGCGCGTTGACGGACCGCGTGAGCAGCTCACGCGCACCAAGCGACGCGGGCGCCACGCAAAGTGCGTGCGTGCACACGTTTGCCACATTCTCCACCTGGCGACAAGGATTAAATGGTCAGATTTGTGGTCTAAATGTTCTGAAAAGGGCCTGTGTACTGGAATGTCTAAGGGACACCCACTCCACACTAGCGTCTTTGGAGCATCTTTTTCTGGCATGCGCGCGCGCGTTGCGTCAACGTTGCAAGTCTATAATGCTCGAAATACACTAGTGTGGGGAATCCCTAATAAAATATGCTAGAAGCGGACAGGTATCATAAGATTTATAGTCACGACAACTCCAATGAAAGACTTGCTTACAGCGTAACGTATCCTTACCACGTATTGATCAGTTATTTGAAATTGTCGATCGATTCCTATTAGATGTCGTAATGGTTGGAATCAGTAATAATTTGGAATCGGAGCTCTGTAATCAGTGTAATGGATACCCTTGGTATAGTTTAATATTCCCATTGTTTTATACGTCAAAGCACCAAACAGACTTTGGAATATCCGTCTATTTTCGCTGAATGAAACCAACGTCTGCTCACGTGTGTTGTTATTGCACGTAGATAGTTGGAATCGTAAACATTGTGATAAAAATAGATACACTGATGCTGCTTAAACTGTTACGGAAGCCTTGGGCTGATACCGAGATCTGGATCTTAATCGATAAGTGATGCAATCGCAAATCGTTTCAGATAGTAGGTAAAGATTAATAGATAAAGGAAAGTTTAGAAGAAGCGTCCAGTGGCTTTCGTGTGGGGCGAACATTGTGACATAGGTGGGTGTAATGGACATTGTTATGACAAAACCTTTGATAAACTAAACAGAAGCACCAAACCAGGTGACTAAAAGCTCCCATCCCTAAAGTAAAACGCATGCTGTCTACAGTTCATGTGGCTTTTGTGAAGCCATTATTGTTTGCCATTTATCAACCGCTCTGCACTAGAGGGAAGTCGATCCTTAACTTCTCCTATTATATTTAGATTAAGTACCATCTACGTTGCGGGTCAGATGCCGGTTAAACATTCCCCCGGGATTAAGTTAGCCTTTACTGGTTGGATCTAGCTACCTAGCTGCAGAAGTACTGTAGTTGTGGGAACAATCAGGGTACTAACTAAGCGTCCCATTTAGGGTTTAACGTCACTGCGAATCAGGTCCACATTGGTCAAAAAAATTATATTGACTAAGTAGAAAGTTGATATCGTGATACCACGGGTGATACTGATACTAAAAGAAAAATCGAGTAGATAGGTAATATGGAATCTCATCATCAGTAAGACCTCCCCCAGGAAACGAAAGGGGAGGAACGTCAAAGAATACAATATAATGGAACGTTATATGTGTAGAGGAAAACAATTACCTACTTACATGTCAAGTTAAGAATGGGGAGGAACTCTTGAAAGGCGGAAGACAAAGCAATAGTCGAGGCCATGGTCGGCTCGTATTAAAGTATAATGGATGCGTGCTGCGTGCTCACCAACTCTTACGATCGTATGGCTATCGATTGGAGCCCTGCTGAAACTGGGATAGCTTATCAACGTTTAATTGGAACCCAGAAGCAATTAAGTTACGGTTAAGAACGCTCCAATGTGGAAATTCTGATCAACTAACGTGTAATTGTTATCACAACGTAAGGATATACCTGAAACGACTGACGACAGATTCTATTTTAGATTTCAGTTGATTTTAATGAATAGGGGTGCTAGGGGGGCGTCCATAAATTACGTGAGACAATTTTGGCTATTTTTCAACCCCCCCGCCCCCCTTTGTGAGATTTGGTGAGATTTTGCCTGACCCCCTCCCCCACCCCCTAATCTCACGTGATATTTTTAAAAATCCGAAATTTAATAGTTTTGGAGTAATTTAACTGAGTTTCAAAGACTATTTTTCGATTTAGGGATCCGTTTGCAAACTATTAAAGTTGAAAGTGCCAATTTTTGTTCGAGCGGGGCGTCCCCCCTAAAAACTAGACTGNCCCCTCCCCCACCCCCTAATCTCACGTGATATTTTTAAAAATCCGAAATTTAATAGTTTTGGAGTAATTTAACTGAGTTTCAAAGACTATTTTTCGATTTAGGGATCCGTTTGCAAACTATTAAAGTTGAAAGTGCCAATTTTTGTTCGAGCGGGGCGTCCCCCCTAAAAACTAGACTGTTGGCTTGAAAAATCTGGAAAAATTCATAATAATACTGCTTTTTATGAACTATCAAGAAAACAATAACGGTTAGGGTAGGTCAGTTAGTTTAAGAGTAATAGTCATTTAACTTATGTATTATAAAATTTCATATCTAATAAAAAATCCTTGGAAGAAAATATTAAAAGTTACTTTAGATGAAGTAATTGCTTGCTTCTGAAATATATTTTGTTAACGACGGACAACTACGGAACCTTACACTGCGCGTGGCATGACACGCACTTGGCCAATTTTTTTACTTAAGATTTAAACCCAGTTTTCTGGCAAACTCTATTTCTCTATTTCTTGCGGAAAAAATTACGTGATATTTCCTGAGACCCTCCTTCTCCCCCACGTGAGATTTAGTGAGGTTTTTGTTTACCCCCTCCCACCCCTAAAAGTCTCACGTAATTTATGGACGCCCCCTAGTTGCCGCAAACTGGGACGCTGTGATACAACTTATGATACCGAGGCCCGTATAAAGCCAAGAACTCGACTCAAACATGAATCAAGCCTGTGATGGTTTAACTTTAAAGTTAACATTTGAACCAATAGTTTAGTACCTATTCTTAACTCCTTTAGATTGATATTTGAGCGTCTATAGACGGGTTTTTAACTGACAATTCAACCGTGTTAATGCGACCTCCAGATTGCTTAGTGCTAAACAATGCACATTTGCAGCAAAACAAGTTATACATGCAATATAATGAATGCTCCGTGTAGCAACATCCTGCTCTCGCGTGACTGCGAAGTGGCGACACGTAATAAGTGTTTACTTATCGGTGTCCACTGACGCTGACGATCTACCAATGCCTAATTGGCAAGTCGAAAATAGAAGATTATTAGATATTAATATAATTTATAATAATTTTATGTTCTAGACAACCAGATAAGACCGATGACCGATCGTTATGGTTTCGAAGTAAGAGACTATTCTAAAATTAGGAGATTTTCATACACAAGAGATCATCACGAAATCTATGTATATTTATAAAAGCGAAAGGTCACTGACTGACTGACTCACTCATCACGAAATCTCAGAAACTACAAGAGCTAGGTAGGAGTCTCAAATTTTGCATAGGGGTTCCTTTCAGAACGTAGCTTAGGTGCTCACTAAGAACGGATTTTACGAAACTCCACCCCTAAGGGAGTAAAACGGGATCCGGGATACGAAGTCCGGGCGGCCGTTAGTAGAGTAATTTTCCTGGACGAAAACGAAGTTTACGCGGCGATGTCCAACTCGCAATTTTTTAAAGTCGTCTGGAACTCTGGAATGAGTCGCGTCGTGCGAAATGTAAGATGCACATTTAATTAAAAAGCAAATTTGGCACAAGGCGACAACGATATATTTAAATAAAAAGCTAATTTTCATGCATTAAAATAGTAGGTAGGTAATTACCTTGTATAAAAAAAACGAACTTTATACCATCTAGGTACCTAACTGAAAAAGAAATTCCTACTTTAAATTTTATGAATTTCATCTCAATTAGTAACCGATAGGTTTCCAATTTTTTTTAATAGGCATAGGTATTTATAAAAAAAATATAATCTCAGAGTTAAACATTGATTAAGTTTTTTTTTTAAATTAATTGTGTAATTAATCTAAATTGTGATATCATCATTCATAGTACTCAATCAAAACAATATATTTTATGTGTACCTATTACATCATTGATATCCCTCTGATAAACACAATGTACGTAATCATTGGAAATGTTTGAAAGATGAGATTTCAACTGTAAATTCGCAGAAAATACTGTGATAGGTATGCATGTATAAGTTTTATGGTGCAAACTTAGATTAATAAAACCTAGATGGATAGTCTTCATACAAACGCTTCGTCAAGAGTGAGGCAAAAATCTTATGTCATTAGTGTCAATTTTGTTGGGGAGTGTAGACAGTGAAGGCGATTTTCCAGAAAGTAGGGAAATTTTTAATACGTTTTTAATTATTTTATAATTAACAAAAACAAAACGCATCATGTACTTACTTATTTATTGAATTCAAAGTACCTACCTAATTACAATAAGATAAATCGACTTAAAAGTCTCGATTTCATAAAAAAGGAAGTGTATTTGTATGGCGAACAATTGGGAAATAAATTTTCTTGTTACTGGTATCATTCCCGTATTTAATTTTTGAAAGCCTAATTCAAGCAAAATACGCGTCGAATTGTAGTACTTACTTATGAAATGTAACACTGGTCACTTTCTTTCGTTTTTCTGATGTATTTTAGACACCCTTTCACAGCACAAACCGTTTTAATTAATTAAAATTCGTCGGACGTGTTTACAAATTTTTCACTTTGACAGTTCATGTGACGTTTACGGGTGAGCCGTGCCGGCTCCCTAAAAACTGCCTCACCTTTCGTGCACTGACTATCTATCTAGGTTTTATTAATCTAAGGGTGCAAAAAAATATCTGCTATTACCTACTTATTGTTTGAAACAAAAACTTGACTTAAACTTTAGTTTAATGTTATTACATTTTAATGTTACATGTAATTTCATTCTTGAATCGCATATTATTGCAAAGGTATTTCTATCATAATATGTACTAGTTAATATTATTATTTTATGTATGTAATAATTAATGAATCCAGTTACCTATTTGAATAAAGTTTTTTAAAGTTCATCACAATAATGTATTATATTACAATTAAAATATTATTTAATTAAACAAAGTAGCAGTTGTGTTATCATAGACTAAATAATTTAATTATGTATTACTGTGATTCCTTTAATATTATTAATAAAAATGTACCAAAATAGTTTGTACTCACTGTGGTTGGCACATAGGCCTTGTTGGACGTAGCCCTTTCATTCATCCACTTCACGGATTTCAGCTTTTGCCAGGGAAGATCATAGTGGAAATAAATTTTACTTTCATTGAACTTAGATTTAAATTTCATTATTATCACAGAAAATAAGCTTACAACGTCACCCATTTGGCTTATGTTTTATTGGAATGGCAGCTAAACATTAAATGGTCATGAGACCAAAGACTGTACGCTTAAGCTTATATTATTCCCAACATTCATGATATTAATTCAATTTACGTTTTTCTGTTAGAGAACACATTTTTCCTCCCTTTTGTACAACAACCACCTCGGTCGATCTCACTTGACAGAATGCAAAAAAAGTGACAACTGACATGACTGACAGCACCTGTGGTCCTTATCCACGTACAAACTTCTTTAAATTCAATATTATCTATCTCTTTTGCGTGCACTGGAACACTAGGAGGAGTGAAAGAAATAACTGAACTAGTATAGTAACAAAAACATTTTTTACAGTAGGACCCCGCTGTCAAAGATGATGAAGACATTTTTATTGTATTCTGTGGCAAAGATAATGATACTTATACAGCCGGTAGCTTCTTCTTTTATTAAATGTAAAGGATAGCAAGGGGTAGTAAGCCAAGCATGCTAGGAGGTTGCAGCAAGGGTTGTTGTAGGCAATCCTAAAAATTGTAAGAAAATTTGGCGTTCGAAACGAAAACTTATTCCCAAACCTGTCAGTTGGAAAGATAAGCGGCCTGCGGTTTCTATCATATAGATGACCCACGCTGAACTGTCCCACCAAACTCAAGGACAGGGGGGCGCTACCATCGTTCAACTATATGGTTTCCAACATGGCAAAAATCTGAACCAGCGATCCGGTATTGACGGTGGCGCCCCACTGTCAATGTCATCGACAGGACAGTCCAGTATTTTGGAACTATAAAGTTAATATTCCTTCCGAAGGAATATTAACTTTATGGTTTCTATCATCTTGAAGAACTTTTCAAATGCTACAAGTTACGGGGTTTTTTAAATTACTTTATTAAATGCTCTCACTATACAAGGGTACATTTAAATTAATTATTTTAATCTGGTGTATTTAACTAACTGAATTTTATACAAGTTGAACTTAAATAAATATAGTTATTATGAAGACATAAAACAAAATCTAAATGTATTATTTACAACTAACCACTAGTTACATTAATAACAAAGCAACAATTACATGCTAAAAGTTATTTTCAAAAATTTGAAGTAGTCTCTTTATTTCTGCTATCCTTGCAGCCTGTGCTTGGACAGGGATCATTGCTTGTGACACCTCTTCACCTTTAGCTAGAATTGTATACATGCTTTTGATGTTATTGTCCATCGCATCACATGTCTTGCCAACAGCATCCTTGTATACTTCCATATTTTCAGCAGTCAGCGAAGAATTGGAATGCAGTATGCTGGATAAATTTTCTATTAGATTATCTACTGACTGTGCTATCCTTTGAGCTTCATATTCGAGATCATTCAATACTGTTATATCAATTTGTCCTATTTGAGGAGCCAGTATTTGTCTATAAAGTTTTCCAGAAGGAGTGCTTGATCTGGATGCGCTAGTAGAACTACCAAATACTGGAGTTTCGCCTCTCTTAGTTATGGGACTGGAGAGTTTAATTTTAAACTCTAAATCATCAGCAACATAGTGAGTCATGTCCCCTTCGTATCTCACATGCCCATCCAAGTCTAAAGGAAACTTCTCTTGTTTGCGGTTTTCTGAGGGAAAGTTGTAAGGCCTGGAAGGCCCAGCTGCCTTCTGGTCTTCAGGACTGAGGCCTTGGTCTGAATGGAATGATATTTCACTGTAGGAAGCCGTCATCCGAGCTGATATCTCTTCATCCATGTCCACCACATCCTGTTTGTTGGAAGGGTCATCGGGCAATTCTTTGTCTTCTGTCGATGGTGAATTTCCTTCAGCTGGGTTTGACATTATTGAGCAAAATAGTTATTTGAACTTACAATCGTAAAACTACAATAATATCAACAAACAAAACCCATCCCAAAATCTGACAAAATCCATCATCAATTTTTTTGACGGTAGTTGGTTGACATTTGACAGCACAGATGAGATTTTTTTTTATAACAATACAAGCAAAGGTTTGCTTTATTGTGCGTCTTGTTGTCTGAGCACATAGACATTGCATTCCAACTTCTCTTTTTTTTCAATCACAAAGCTGTCAAATTTGCGGGAATTTTTGACAGTTGTCAATAAAAACATCGTGAGAATGAGAAATCGTGTGAATCTGCAATTTATTAGCTTTTGTTAGTGCCGTAATATGTAAAGAATAAAATAATTTTAGTTATAAATTGTGGTAAACTTTATGGTTATTCTAATTGGTGAGTTAAGTATTTCAAAATTGCTGTATCTCTCGACTTCATTGTCCGTTTAACATGGCGCTTTGTAGGGACATGTGCAGACGATAACGCTCGTACATCACCTTGTTAGTTACTATTTCTAGTGTTTAGACGTTTATTTTCTTGTTTTTCGAGTTGTGGATTGTGTGTAACGTTGTTTGGTTGTTACATAACGGGTTTGGGGTCTTGAATGTAGCGTTACGACACAGCTACTGCAATGGTGAAAACCCGTCGCAGTAATGGAGAGAACGGAGAGGTTGACGAAGGGAATTACACTATAAACGACGTTGGCAGCGTCTCCGATGAGAAGGTGACACGTTCTCATTGATACTACTTGATAGATAACATTAGCACCTATGCTTTGTTTAGAAATACTTTGTGACTCAACTTCCTGTCCCAATTTCCTTGTTGGCTGATGCAAGTACTTGCATGTGCTTTTCCAGTAAAATTAAGGAGGATTCAGTGTGTTGTGGTCTTGGGGATTACCATCATGATAAGATCTTGTCTTCCAGTCTTCCCAAAGTTGTTTTGTAGTACCTTTATTGAGTTTATGTGCTTTGGAATGACATTTTATGTTTTGATTGGAGCTGGAAAAGTAATTAAAGGGTGTCAATTGGGTTCTATTTATTTATTTAATTTGTGCACTATTCAGATCACTTGAGTGTGTCACTGTTTGTATGGTATCATTACATCATCATTCACAAAATATTGATGATAAGGGGAAAAATGTGTTTATCATAAATATGGTCCTTTGCACTCAAAACCCTAATGTTTTGGTAATGTAATGTTTTTATCCCTTGGTTTACATTTTATTACAAACAATGATATAATTGTTGAGCTTTTAAAAAAGAAGCTCCAGTTTTTATACAGTTCATGAGTAGGTATGCATTAGAAAACTTGTAAAAGTTTGATGGTGTTCTATCAATGGTTTTCATTGATATCATTGCATGCATGCATTGCGTTTTTATTATACAAAATGTATCTTAATTAGTAATGAATAAATTATCCATTGGATTAAATCTTCTCATCAGGGTTCTTATTTTATTGATGTGATTATTTAATTTTAGTTAAATAAGTATTACTATGTTTTTTTAAATGCATGTTATATTTATTTTGCATGGTATTGGGATCAATGTTTTAAAATGATTTATAGACAAATAAATGTTTTTCTATTTATTTTCAATGAATAATAATATTATTCACCATTTATTTTTAATGTGAGTATGGAACCAAATAAGATTTATGGATTTTTACTCAATATTTCACTGTTTCAGTTTTTTTGTTAGTCCATATAAAATTATCTCATTGGATTTGTTTAACATGAAATACAGAAAGGTGCAATGATATTCAATACATTAAAAAATAACTGCACATAGCACATAACTGGACATTGTATAGCAACTTAATGTTCTTTAAATGTATGCTGTATATTTTTAATTACTAGTCATTGAGGCTGATGTCTAGTCAAAACTACACTAGACACGCAAAATAAAAACTAAACAAGCATTCAAATTATTTAAGTAAATAACATATAAAATTTAAACAGATTTCCTTATTTTAGGCATCTAATTGGTCTCAACGGGAGTTAAGAAGTAGCCAACAATATAAGGTCACTCGAAAGATACAACATTGGCCTACTAAATGTAAGTATTGTGTCTGATATTATAATACAGTTATCTAGTTACAACTGATGCTATTGATACATATTTTATGCAGCCAGTCTTGTAACTGGGTACTGGATCCAATTGGACACTAATAATATTTGTCTTAATATAATTTTAGATAGCCGACGCCGCCGCACTATCAAAATGCCTCGCATAGTATTTCCAGAAAGTGATACAGAGCCTGAAAAATATTCTAGAAGGTAAGTGTGAGTTCAATAATGCACACCAGTTATTTTTACATGTTATTGCAAAATCACCTTTATTACAGTTGTATGAGGAGCTAAAGTGCAGCAGGGTCTAACTTGATGTGCTGTAAGGCTAGGCGTGCACGGGTGGCTTGTGATCGTGACAGTATGTCGCTCTTTTTCTCTCCATAAAGGTGTAAAAAAGATAGATATTTAGTGGCGTAACTATAGGGAGGCAGAGCTGGCAAAATGCCACGGGACCCCAACCCTAGGGAGCCCCGGCCCAGGACCCTAATCCCCCCTCTTGCGATGCTTCAGGGCGATGGTCCCGTAGTCCCCTGAAAAATAAACCCTAGATATGCCAAGGGCCCCATGCACAGCATTTGTCACGGACATCAAGGTTACGCCACTGCTGTAGATATTGTCACGGCGACATAAAGTCACCCGTGCGTGCCAAGCGTATTATTTGCAATATTGAACAACATACGAATTGGTATGAAGTTAGCTTATTTCTGATATTCTGTGGACACAGGTCTCGCCAAGTGCGAGTGTTTTTTGCGGAGGACAACGCGTCTACGAACAGAAGCGTGCGGATCAGGCACAGCCGCGGCCCACGGAAGAATTACGTGGAGGACAGTGAAGACAAGCCAATACAAGAAAGTAAGGATTTTATGACTGTATTTGAAACAATAAAACTTGTAATTATTGTTAACATGAACAGGCTTCTAGGTCATCTCGTCGCGTAAACTAAGATGTTAATCAAGGGGTATACCAGATGAAGGATATACTTCAATCCTTTATTGAAAGTTTACTGCTTGTGTAATTTTTAGATCAAGTCCAGAATTATGGCTTTATTTTACCCCTCGCAATGTTTTCTCAGCGTGTACTAGGTTTTTTTTTCACGCCGTGATTTCAAATTGCTCCGCGAATCCGAGGGTTGCCAGTATGTGGCATAACGACGAAAATAATGAACGAATGCCTCTTATTGCCGCAAAGAAAGAAGTCTAACGTCCGTATTCACAAACACTACTATGAGATCTCAGTGGGCGTGGATGCATAGTGAAACACGAACCAATCAGAGAGCTCTATTCAACGCTGTGCGTTCGTTTTGCAGCTTCACTTATGCAAGCATCGTTTGTGAATACGAGCGTAATAAACATTCGATGTTTCCTTAGATGTTCGTAGAAGTTGCCGCAAACGCAAACTCATCCACCACAACTTCAACGAGAGCTGGATCACCAACGAGCTGAAGGTGAAAGGTTATCCCGACCTGTACGGCTTCCCTGGGACCAGCTCCTCAGATGAGTTCTCCTCCGGCGACGAGGCGAGGGTTAATAAGAAAATTGTGAGTGCCAAATGTATTTAGAATAGAATAAAGCCTAAAGCCCGGTCTGTGAACACGTAGAATTTTGTCCAATGACCCCAAGCTACCCATCCTTATCGCTCGCGCGTAATTATGTTGCTGTCGCGCTCGCACACTCACTGCGGGCGCCCGTCGCATAGTCGCGACAGCAATATAATTACGCGCGAGCGATAAGGATGGGTAGCTTGGGGTCATTGGACAAAATTCTACGTGCTCACAGACCAGACTATAGAAAGCATTTATTTGTCTCAAAACATGTAAAAAAAGGTATTATTAAGCAAGACTTGAGGTCATAGCAGACTTATCAACTCGGAAAGGGATCAACACCATATCGCCTTTCGCGCGCTGTCAACTGCGTGGCGAGGCGTTTACGCGTTGCGGTTAGTATAAGTGTGCGTTACGGTATGGAAGGGAGTTTCATACAAAGAATACTGACCACCTCGAGCTGATACGGTTACGATCCTTTTCCGGGTTGATATGTGTGCCACGTCTTTAGTCAAGACCTGCTAATTAAAAACATATAGTTTATTTCCCCTTATTCTTACTTCTTATGTATAGCAATTGAGCATAACAGATTGTTATTGATAACACATTTGTCATTACTTTGTGAGAAAGAAACAATGATCTACAAAACCTCATTTGTTTGAACACATTATGTGGTTTTCTAACAATCAATATACAGGGTGTCCCAAAAAGGGCGCTCTTTACGGGACAAGATGTATTAATCATAACACTGTTTGGTTCTGTTAGTTTTCTGGCGATTAGCACTTTTTATATCTTATTACTTCAGAATAATAACAGTAATGTTTTATGCTTACGTCCAGCAGTGGACTTCCATTGGCTGAAATGATGTAGAGAATAAGAAGTGAGATGTTTTGTAGACACGCGATCTGCCCCCAACCAACACAGATGAAGACACACAGCTCTCTGCGCGCCAGAGGCGGACTTCGGCCAGATTTAATAACAGCAAGAAAACTAATGTGAGTCGCTTTATTTTATAGTATAATTTGAGTTTAAAATTATTATTTATGAATTAGTCATCAAACTTATATCTAAGAGCGCTTTCACATTAGGGCGTTATAAGCGCTCCGCTGTCACATAGTATGAAATTTTCGCAGCGCGTCTGTCGTGCGTTTGTCGTGCTGCTGAATCGCCTAAATGTGAAAGCGCTCTAAGATGTGTGATAATATTGTAGAACTAAGTAATAATAATTATTCTACAGACAATGCAAAGCGAATGTCCTATTTTCTCTGTTGATACAAGAGCCGTAAGTGACATTTTATTTTTACGAGTCAGATAAATGATTCTCTCTCTCTGAGTTCGATGTCGCGCCCGAGACAAGTCTGCTATTATACGACCCATACCTACATTATGTAGCCCTTAAAACTACGTATACATCTACGTATAATATTTCAACCAGGCATTGCTATGCGAAAGAAAGTATTAACAACATATTAAATCATGTCTCAGGATGCGTCCGGATCAGATTCCGAAGATGAGAACAATCAGACGGTGATTGAGAAAAAGACGACAAATGAAAGTAAGAAAGAGAAAGAAACAGACGAGGGGGCGGAGCCTAAAGAGGAAGTCAAGAATGAGACGCAAGAGGCGAACCAAGAGCAAGACAGCGAGAGGTATATTTTTCTTAGCTTTGTTTTAAATGAAAATGATATAAGTTTAACATGACTAGGGGAGACTGGGTACGATTGTAACAACTCGACTGTTGCTTGGTGAGGGTGAGGGGGAGTTGTTACAACCGTACCCAGTTTTCCCCATCAATGAATATCTACACTAAAGGAGAAAAGGCTTTCACTTTAACTATAAATGTTCCTTAAGAGCGTTGTCACATTTTTCATGCAGAAATCGAGAATTTGGCAGATTTCGAAATGATTTTAGTCATATAATTTATTGTTATAGCTTCTTTTGACTTATATCATCGTAATTATCATACGTTTTTACGGAATGTCTATTGACAAAATCTCGTTCAAATTGGATTTTTGCCTACGAAAACAGCGAATTTCGAAAGCCCGATTTCCAGTTAACTCGCGAAGGCACAACTTTGAACTAATATTACAACAAATTTATTTCTAAGTAAGAAGATANTCAGAATAAATTTTAATTTTTCCATCCCGCATCATAAAAACTAAAAAGTCAAAAGTAAAATTTAAATAGTAAATATTTTTCATAAACAAGCTTTTGATGCTGTAAAAAGAATAAAATAAAACATAAATTCTTTCAAACCCATCAACTTATTACTTTACTCAATTTAAAGATTAAAAACTTGTCACGGGATTTACTAGTGTAAAAAATACATTAATTACGTAACTTGATTTTGCTAAAAGTCTGATCTGAGAAAAAATCAAATGGGTAAATTATACATTATTTCTTTATTATTATGTATGATGTACTGTCTTAGGTACGATACAACTACGGATTAAGATCGTTTAGTCGACGCAGCGTTGAAATTGTACAGATAAATGCAGTTTGCGCACTCACTACGCGACGTCAAGCAATAAAAACCTAAAATTCGAACGCCAACTTTTTGCTACAACGCTCTTAAATCTATTTTGTTTCTTTTAGCAATCAAGCTCCAGCAAGATCTACTAGAAGAAATAGAGGACGCCCAAAGAAGGAAGATAGTCAACAAGAAACAGGTAAATTCCTTTTACGAATGTTTATTAGAATGAATTCTATTGGTGTCTGTCTGTAAATTAGAATAATACTGGTTGTGTGTGATGATACCATATTCCAGTATAATCCTGGGAGTGTGGTGGCCATATCAGTGCATGGTTTAAAAACGCCGCGTTATCAATAACCGCATGTGCCGCTGTTCAGTGACAAAACAGCTTGTAACTTCGTGACCTGTAAAGATACAATAACAATTTGGTATATGAGTACTGATTCTTTGGAATGAAAATTTGTTGAAAGAAGTAAGCCGAACTAGTGGTCTAAAACAGCTGTTCATCCCAAAAAGTACTCGTATTAAAAAAAACTGTTTCTGCATGTGTGTCCAAATCTATAATAAACTTCCTCAAGATATTAAAGAACTGTCCTTTAATCAGTTTAAGACCACATTGCAAAAGTGGCTTGTCGCGCGATTATTCTACTCTCTCCAAGAATTTTTAAGCTATAGGGAATAATCAGCAAAAAGTAATACCGTAATAATTATATGTAATATCAATATTTCTTCGATATATTTGCATGCTATTGTTGATGGCTGGATAGGTGATCATATTTTGTTATTTTCGACATTCTGTACACCCTATTCAAAGACAAATAAATATTTCTATTTCTATTTCTGTATTTTCTTCCACAGCGTCTGAATCGTCATCGTCGGAGTCAGGTAGCGAGCTGGGTTTGCAGCCGCGCCGCTCCAAGCGCACGCGTAAGCCTAAGCCCGCCTTTGTGCAGATTGCGCAGCGAGAGACGCGCGGCAGAGGTAACTTAGCAAAATAGCCTCTATTGCATGCGTATTAGGATCAACTCCATATTATTACTTCAAAGCCCGCCTTCGAGTAGATCGCGCAGCGGGAGACGCGCGGCCGAGGTAATGTAGCCATTGTTGTGGAAAAATAGCCTTTGTTACAACTGTCTGAAGGATCAGTGTATGAACATTGTTGAAAGTTGAGGCGAACACGGTTTGTGGGTCTCCTGCAATCACTGAGTCATAGACCTTTATGTCTCTTACTACAGGTGTACAATGTGATGACTTGTAAAGTGAAACTGTTTTGAGACAAATAAACACTTATCTTCTATCTATCTATCTACTCACACTGATGTAATATTTGAATACAGAACACAGATATTACACATACAAGTTTAAACACTGACTACGCTAGCTACCTCGCTCATGCTAAATATGTGCAAATGAGACAGAAAGCATGAGCGTACAAAGATAATAATTTTTGCTTGTTGATCGCCTCAACTCTCGTTGCGCAACCTTATCTGTGGAAATGGTTATTAACATATTATTTATTGTTGCAGCCAAAACATTCACAATCAGAAAGAAACCGTACTCTTTGCGTGAAAGGAAACCTACAATTTTACGCCGTAAGACTATCCGATGTAAGTATTATCATAGGTATTCGAATCACTTAAGCTTTTTGCTCGCTCTCTAAAGCTTCAACCACGCCAACGCGTGCAGATTGCCATTGCCCGGCGCGATCAAAGGCTAATGACAGGTTGCGCGATCTATGACAGTTCACGCGACCTGTCATTTCCTTATGATCGCACGCGTTGGTTTGGTTGAAGCATAAATGAAATGATAGTTTTATATTTCAAACTGTGAATGTATGTTATTCTTTTTGCAGCGCAATCACCATCTAGTAGCAGTAGTAGTATGTCAAGTAGTGACACGGAAGAGGACCTAAATGTTTCCATGAAAAACAAAACTAAGGGCAGGTAAAGTATTACATAAAGTTTTAAATTAATATCTACACTTTGTTGAAATGTTGATCATAAGTGGACGCAGTTTAGCAATAAGGATCCAACAACACCATGTTACATTTGACACTTTTTGCTACATGGTAATATAGATCGTAATGACCACTTTGGTATACTTCACTCATTTTCGACGACTTTGTGGGTTGGATCCTTTTTGCTAAACTATGTCCGTAATGAAAGTACTAAATAAAAATGTTTTCAGACAAAAGTCAAAGTCAATGGATGACAAGAAAACAGATAGAGCTTTGAGAGATATACAACCTGTTGAGGTCGACGGCAGCGTGAGATTTACGTCAGTAAGTATCCTATTTGTCTATTGATTGGCCAAGTTAATCACAGAAAGATCACCTCAGATTTTAGTTCAAAATCTCTATGAACACCGGGTCATAGAGATGTTGGAATAAAATCTGAAGTTCAAAATTAACACACCACATTGATCACCTGGATTAGATCATCCAGAAGGTGATCAAAGTGGACTCCAGGCACACTTTAGTTTCCTATGATAAGATGGATAAGAATTCCATGAGTGATCAAAGGAAATCTAATAAATCCAGGTGATCAAAGTGGAATAGACCAAAATTAAGCACATTCTTAATCTGAATAACATTAACTTCTTAAATTAATAAATAATTGCAAAAAGTTTGACCATTACTTTTTGTCTCTTTCAGGTCGGTGGTTTAGAAGAGCACATAAAGTGCCTCCGTGAGATGGTGCTATTCCCTCTCATGTATCCGGATCTGTTCCAAAAGTTTGGCACCCGCCCCGCCAAGGGGGTGCTATTCCACGGACCCCCGGGCACGGGAAAGACCTTACTAGCCCGGGCCTTGGCTAATGAGTGCACTTTGGTTGGGGGCAGGAAAGTCGCCTTCTTCATGAGGAAGGGGGCGGATTGCTTGAAGAAATGGGTGGGTGAGAGCGAAAGGCATCTCAAGCTGCTGTTTCAACAGGTCAGTGAAGTGTAATGAAGTTATGAAATGTACTTTGGGTGTCATTTATGTTTGGCAAAATTTAAAGGAGAAGAAGCTTTGAGTCTCGTGTTTTTTGGTCTTCCTCGGTTTACCGATTTGAAAGGTAGGGGTGGAAAGAGTCCCTTATGTAGCATTTGTACAGGACTGGCCCTCTTCTCGACCCCATACAAATGTCGCACGAAATGGCCACGCCCCTCGCACGTCACGTGGTTATGCCTTAAATATGGTTACGTAAATGTAAACTTATGTAGCATGAATTGGGAATAGAAGGCGAATATTGTATTCGCGAAGGCGAATAGACATGTATTTAGTCTGTTATTAAAAAGAATATGATTTCAAGCTGCAATGTAAAACACAATGCCAAACTCATAACATAATGCTTCCCTTCCAGGCAAACAAAATGAAGCCGTCCATAATATTCTTCGACGAGATCGATGCGTTGGCGCCGGTGCGTAGCGTGCGGCAGGAGCAAGTTCACACTAGTGTTGTTGGCACACTCCTCGCTGAGATGGACGGCCTTTGTGATAGGTGAGATATACAGGTTTTATTGCAAAATAGCTCCTATTGGAACGACATAAGATGCCAGTGTTTTGGCGCAAGTACACTATGCGGGAAATAAACCGAGATGAAGCGCGTGCCCGCACACCGAAGTACGGGCGATGCACGGCGAAACCAACCGAAGTGCGGGTTTACACTATACGTCACGATCAATTTCCCCCATGGTGTACTTGTGCCATTTAGCTTGATAATCTAATATACTTACTTCTTAGCGTCCGTGTCTTTGCTAATCTATCTACTATTACTACATCCTATCTGTGTCAACGCGAATTTTTTTATGAAGTACATGAGCCTTAAGTAATCAAGTCCTCAATTTTGTTCACTTCTGAGAGACCACTTAACTAACCAACCCTTCATTACCTCAGGGGCGAAGTGGTAATCATAGGCGCAACCAATCGCCTAGACGCTGTCGATCCAGCATTGCGCCGCGCGGGTCGCTTCGACCGGGAACTATACTTCCCGCCTCCACACGCGGCCGCTAGAAGGGACATCCTGCACATATACACCAAGCACTGGACCCCACGCCCAGGGGAGGAGGCTTTGGACCAGATAGCTCAGCTCACAGTCGGCTATGGAGGTCAGTCATTGGATAGAGTCACTTGAATATTATCAATTTAGGTTTCCGCTGTCGCACGCGGCTGTCAGGAGATATCCTACACATTATACACCAAGCGTTGGACTCCGCGACCATGGGAGGAGGCTTTGGACCAGATAGCTCAGCTCACAGTCGGCTATGGAGGTAAGTTAGTTCCGTCCATAGAATTTCTTGCTATTAGAAGTATCCGCTAGGAGAGACGTTATCTTTCTGCCTCCACACGCGGCCGCTAGAAGGGATATCCTGCACATATACACCAAGCACTGGACCCCACGCCCATGGGAGGAGGCATTGGACCAGATAGTACAGCTCACAGTCGGCCATGGAGGTAAGTTTCGTCAATAGCAATCCTATCTTATGCAAGCGGCTGCTGGGACAGACGTTAGCTTCCCGCCTCCACACGCGGCCGCTAGAAGGGACATCCTGCACATATACACCAAGCACTGGACCCCGCGCCCAGGGGAGGAGGCTTTGGACCAGATAGCTCAGCTCACAGTCGGCTATGGAGGTAAGTTAGTTCCGTCCATAGAATTTCTTGCTATTAGAAGTATCCGCTAGGAGAGATGTTAGCTTCCCGCCTCCACACGCCGCCGCTAGAAGGGACATCCTGCACACATACACCAAGCACTGGACCCCACGCCCAGGGGAAGAGGCTTTGGACCAGATAGCACAGCTCACAGTCGGCTAGTAGGTTCACTAGATAGCAATACAAAGAGACCAGTTAGATTATTATCAGAACAGTAGTGTCTCAGAGATTTTCCATGACCAAACATATTTTATTTATGACTTTATTTTGGTTGTTACAGGTTCAGACCTAAAAGCTTTATGCTCAGAATCAGTATTAAAGGCGTTGAGAAGAGTCTACCCACAAGTGTACGACAGCGAACACGCCTTACTTATCGATGCTAAGAATGTGAGTATTGAACTTTAGTATTATTATTATGTGCATTTACACAGCTCTTCCGGCAGGTGCCTGGATGCGAGCGGCGCAGGATCGGTCTTTGTAGAAATTCTTGGGGGAGGCCTTTGTCCAGCAGTGGATGTCTTTCGGCTGAAACGAACACAGCCCTAGGTTTTGTGTTCGGTAGTCGTACGTGTCAAAGCCGCTGTCAGAGGGGGGACAGTATTCAGAATCGCGCTTGTCGACGACTTTTCTGGCGCTTTGCTTATTACAACCCGCTGTCAATGCAGCTGGGCTGTGTGGGCACCCTAATGTGTTGGAAAATATTTGGGTTGCGTTGACGTTATTCAAATGTTTCCAGGTGGAAGTGACAACCCAAGACATGTTAGAGGCGATGCGTTCACTAGTGGCGGCTGGAGCCCGCGCCTGCCCGCCCCCCGCGCGCCGCCTGCCGCCGCCCGCGCGCCCGCTGCTCCTCGCCCAGCTGCAGGCCGCCCGCCAGCTGCTGCCGCCGTGAGTGTGTCCCTAGCCGCTGCTGCGTGACGTCACGCGCGCCCGCTGCAGGCCGCCCGCCAGCTGCTGCCGCCGTGAGTGTGTCCCTAGCCGCTGCTGCGTGACGTCACGCGCGCCCGCTGCAGGCCGCCCGCCAGCTGCTGCCGCCGTGAGTGTGTCCCTAGCCGCTGCTGCGTGACGTCACGCGCGCCCGCTGCAGGCCGCCCGCCAGCTGCTGCCGCCGTGAGTGTGTCCCTAGCCGCTGCTGCGTGACGTCACGCGCGCCCGCTATGACGTCACCAGCATAGTCATTTCGAAGTGTGTGTGAAGAGGCTAATCTATGACATCATCATGATTCCAGCTACAGAACGTTCACTGCTAAACGTAGACGTCTCCCTGCAACCTTTATGACGTCGCAAATTAACTTGAAATATTACGATTCTTATATCATTAGGGACTACGTAGCGCAGTTAGTGGAGCTGTGCAGATGGAGAAGTCATGTGACATAATAGAGCTGTTATTTGTTGACGTTTTAATAACAAAAACACGACCCACACCACTTCACTGCAGTATTCTACTCAGTTAAGCGTCATATTCTATATCAATACAGTTTTTTATTAGATCCTTCTTCCAGGTCGGACATCCCGCCAACGTCATCCAGCGTGCTTCTGATCAGCGGTCCCTGTGCTGAGACCTATATAGCGCCGGCGCTGCTAAGCGATATGGAAGACTGTACTGTCAAAGAGCTTAGCATGTCAACACTACACTCGGCGCTCGCCTTCACGCCCGAGCAGGCGCTTATATCGGTGAGTGGTGATGATAACTAAAGTCGCGCTCGCACACTCACTGCGGGCGCTCGTCGCACAGTCGCGACAGCAATATAATTACGCGCGAGCGATAAGGATGGGTAGCTTGGGGTCATTGGACAAAATTCTACGTGCTCACAGACCGGGCTTTAGCACGAAATATTTCGTATTAAAATCATCTTAAAATAACGATCCACCGATTGAATGACGAAGAAAATCGTATCAATATGTGTCTGGAACAATTTCAGGGTCTACTATGTTAACCATAATAGACGTTACATATACGGACTTATTTACAGATACCGAAGATTCTACATACTCATGTTCTTTACCTTGTTACAGCTATTTTCGGAATGTCGACGAGCGGACAGAGGATGCGTGCTATTCGTCCGCGACGTGCTATCAGTGTGGACATCACTAGCGGCCACCGGGACAGCGCTACTGTTACAACTATGGCGGACGCGCGCTGCGGGAGATAATACATTACTATTGGCCACCACAACTGCGCAACACTCTGACTTGCCGGCAGAGGTAAGAATGCGTGCTATTCGTTTTAGTGTGGTAGTCTTTAGCGCCAACCGGGACGACGCTACTGTTACACCGATGGCGGTGGCGGAACGCGGGGGATAACACGCTATTGTTAGCTACTACCACAGCGCAGTAGTGCGCAGCATTCGGAATTGCCGGCCGAGGTAAGAATGCGCGCTATTCGTTTTAGTGTGGTAGTCTTTAGCGCCCACCGGGATGGTGCTACGGCACTACTACGCGACGGGGGACAACACGCTATTACTGGCTACAGCACTCGGATTTGCCGACCGAGGCAAGACCAGCGGAGAGGATGCGCGCTATTAGTCTTAGTGTGGTCATCACTAGCGCCCACCGGGACAGCGCTACTGTTACAACTATGGCGGACGCGCGCTGCGGGAGATAATACATTACTATTGGCCACCACAACTGCGCAGCACTCGGACTTGCCGGCAGAGGTAAGAATGCGTGCTATTCGTTTTAGTGTGGTAGTCTTTAGCGCCCACCGGGATGGTGCTACGGCACTACTACGTGACGGGGGACAAATTTGCCGACCGAGGCAAGACCAGCGGAGAGGATGCGCGCTATTAGTGTTAGTGTGGTCATCACTAGCGGCCACCGGGACAGCGCTACTGTTACAACTATGGCGGACGCGCGCTGCGGAAGATAATACATTACTATTGGCCACCACAACTGCGCAACACTCTGACTTGCCGGCAGAGGTAAGAATGCGTGCTATTCGTTTTAGTGTGGTAGTCTTTAGCGCCCACCAGGACGGTGCTACTGTTACACCGATGGCGGTGGCGGAACGCGGGGAATAACACGCTATTGTTAGCTACTACCACAGCGCAGTAGTGCGCAGCATTCGGACTTGCCGGCCGAGGTAAGACAGATGGATGCACAATATTCGCCTTGGTTTGGTTGTTTCTAGCGGCCATAGGGATAGCACTACAGATGCAGCTGTGGCGAACGCGGGTTGCGGGGGATAACACGCTATTGTTAGCTACTACCACTGCGCAACACTACGACTTGCCGGCCAAAGTAGGAATGCGCGCTATTTCTTTTAGTGTGGTAGTCTTTAGCGCCAACCGGGACGACGCTACTGTTACAACTATGGCGGACGCGCGCTGCGGGAGATAATACATTACTATTGGCCACCACAACTGCGCAGCACTCGGACTTGCCGGCAGAGGTAAGAATGCGTGCTATTCGTTTTAGTGTGGTAGTCTTTAGCGCCCACCAGGACGGTGCTACTGTTACACCGATGGCGGTGGCGGAACGCGGGGGATAACACGCTATTGTTAGCTACTAGCACAGCGCAGTAGTGCGCAGCATTCGGAATTGCCGGCCGACGTAAGAATGCGCGCTATTCGTTTTAATGTGGTAGTCTTTAGCGCCCACCGGGATGGTGCTACGGCACTACTACGCGACGGGGGACAACACGCTATTACTGGCTACAGCACTCGGATTTGCCGACCGAGGCAAGACCAGCGGAGAGGATGCGCGCTATTAGTGTTAGTGTGGTCATCACTAGCGCCCACCGGGACAGCGCTACTGTTACAACTATGGCGGACGCGCGCTGCGGGAGATAATACATTACTATTGGCCACCACAACTGCGCAGCACTCGGATTTGTCGGCAGAGGTAAGAACTAATGGAGAGGATGCGCGCTATTCACAATTTCACACATATGGCGTGTCACTAATCACGGAAAAGACGCTAGTGTTGTAGATATTGAGGACTAGGGTTGCGGGGATAACACGCTACTGCTAAAGCCTGGTCCGTGAGCACGTAGAATTTTGTCAAATGACCCCAAGCTACCCATCCTTATCGCTCGCGCGTAATTATATTGCTGTCGCGACTGTGCGACGGCGCCCGCAGTGAGTGTGCAAGTGCGACAGCAACATAATTACGCGCGAGCGATTATGATGGGTAGCTTGGGGTCATTGGACAAAATTCTACGTGCTCACGGACCAGGCTTTAGCTGTCTCGCATAATTAAAACTTGAGTAAAACGGAGGATGCGTGCTATTCGAACGCAATATTGGTGAAGACATCAAATCTGATAATATCTCATTCTCAACACAATGTTCTACCGAAATTGTAGTCTAAATTGATATCTATTGGCGGTCAAGCTGTAACCCCTGGCGAGACGATGACAATGGCTTAAAATTATCTTTCTATTTCAGCTTCAAGACCTGTTCCCTCTGTACAAGGACTGCGTATACAGAATGCGGGAACCAAATGCGGCAGAAGTGATCGCGTTCCTAAAGCCGTTGATTGCCGAAGCTCTGTTAGACCCGCCTCCTATCGAAAACACGGAGCCGCCGCCACCGCTGCCTAGAGGTAAGCGAAAGACAACCTTATAACAATGACATATGGGTCATAATTGAACAATCACTACATAGTACAGTCACGGAATGAAAAGGTTCGTCAGTTTTCAAATTGATTCCTTCAACGAATCGCGAGCACATATTACCTTTTGAAACTATGTTACAGAATAATCTCTAGTTAGAGAAAATAATCTTTAACTGTTCGCCAGTAAAGTTCAAAATTATTCAGATCAAAGTTGTTTGACGATGTAACTTGTCAAGAAGATTATTATGATTGAACTAAAACCTTCTTGTTGGTTCAACCTGCCATTATCTATTAAATAAAAAAAAACTACATTTTGTAACATTGCACTGATGGGATAGAAAAATAAACAAGCAAAACCTTATTCGTTAGCAAACGTCATATTTATTTTAATGTTAGCAGCACTGTTTCTTGCACGGTTATGTTGGCAGGTTTGACTCTTACAGTACCTAGCAAGCGAAAACCGACACTAAGGTGACGAACCTTTTCATTTCGCGACTGTACATATAAAACAAAGTCGCCTTCCGCTGTCTCTCCCTTACTATGTATGTTTAGATCTTTAGTACTACGCAACGGTTTTTTTAATAGATAGAGTGATTCAAAAGGAAGGTTTATATGTACAGCCTTGGCCTGTATATTTAGCACCTGTGCAAAGCCAGGGCGACTCGCTAGTTCTAATGGTAAAACTCTTTTTAGCACCACCCCCTCCACCGCCGCGGGAGAGCCAAGAAGACATGGCCCGGCGCAAGCGCAAGGAAGACTACAAACTGCGGGAACTGCGCATCTTCTTACGGGACATCTGCCGCAAACTGGCTTCTAACCGTCGATTCTATAAGTTCACCAAGCCTGTCGACTTGGAAGAGGTTAGTTTGAATAAGATGTTTTCATATTAGGTTACTTAGGTGCTGTCATTGTGAATTCCCTTTAATATGAGTTCTCCAAAACTGATAATTTTGATAAAAATAAGTCGGGTTTTCCTTCCTGACGCTATAACTCCAGAACGCACGAACCGATTTCCACGGTTTTGCATTTGTTGGAAAGGCCTCGGACTCCGTGAGGTTTATAGCAAAGAAAATTCAGGAAAATTTAACAAACGAAATTCCACGCGGGCGAAGCCGCGGGCGGAAAGTTATTAAAAATATTTAACTAAATATAACAGCTTCAACTTGCTTGTTTCATAAATGTGTTCCAACTTAGCAACGGATTTTCTCCCATCCCAAAATACAACAGATCTTGAAGCAAATGCTAGTGAGAAACGTTGTTTTTTGTATTTAGAAACCAAATAGCGACTCACAATTCACCTCTATACGGTTTTGTAGATGTGCCCATTGCAACATTCAAGGCTATAGACTATGCAAGGATACCTATATGGTTTAAAAACCTTATGTTTTCAGGTAACTGACTACTTAGACATAGTGAAGCAGCCAATGGACTTAGAGACGATGATGACTAAAGTGGACATGCACAAATACAACTGCGCCAAGGAGTTCCTAGACGACATCGACCTAATTTGCGCGAACGCGTTAGAGTATAACCCGGACAGGTAAGAATTTAATTTTCTGTTTTTCTTGTTGAAAATAAGTCTTAGGCCCCTTGTACACAAGGCTACGCTAAGCGATATCGACTCGTCCTAATGAGGGCTATCGTTTTACCGCTCACCAGTTAGCGCCACTGTAGAGTAAGGTCCTGTCACTTGCTAGTAGCGAAGACAGTGGCACCAACTGGTGAGCGCGAAAGTGGTACGAGGACTATCGCATTTGCATTCATCAAGATGGCGCCACTGTAGAGTAAGGTCCTGTCAATCGCCAGGGGGGCCAACTGTTAAGTATAAAAACGATAGCCCTCATTGGCGACACATAAATGTTTGAATATGTTCGTGATCACGTGTCATGTGATCAGAAATGGAGAATGTGTTTATTTATTTTATTTATTGTTTATCAAATGACAAATCTTTGAAATTTTTATTTACTATTCTGCCATTACCATGACCATAAAATCATGTTTTATGCCTCTAACATGATGTATTCGTTTCCAGCACTAATTTTACTTTATTTTGCGTATTACCCCACTACATTGTAACCTATTTTTAAATGTGTTTATTATGTTTTCTTCCACATAATTTCCTGCAAATCAAAAATCAAAGGGCTAGAGGGGTGTATAGGTATGCCAATACGCTTGTATATAGCCTTAATAACCACTATAGTCAGTATTTATAGCCTAAATATGATTTGTAAAATATATTACATCCTCTAACCTTTTCTCCGTAAATTTTTTGGATATTGAGCTTGATTCCTCTCTTCACTGAAATGTATTTATCGGATGAAGATCAGAATCAGTCCAGTTGCATGTAATATAAATACAAAATCTATATACAACAGTCATTGTCATTAATTTAGTTATTAGTTGTTATTATTTACACCCATTATAGTGATTAGAATGCTTTTAGCTGTCATAACTAAAAAGTTTAACAGACAATTTACATTAGATATACAGTATTCGTAAAGTTTTGTAAGTACTGGCACGGTTACACGGTCGGTTGATCTTCACAAAAGTTTAAATTTTAAGATTTATAAATTAATTATTTGTATAACCTAATTTCTATATCATAACCATTCGTCACCTATTCACTAAATTGATGACACTCACCCTAAAAACCGACCGTGTTGCTTTAGCTTCATTGATAGCAGTTCCGTCATATCAGTCTCAAATAAAGATTGGTCTTTTTAAAGCTTTAATCCTACACCTACCCTTTTATTGGATAACCAATAGACAAAATTCAATAAATCAGAAGATGTACCAGTCTCGTAATTGGACTTCATTAGTTATTCACCTAGTCTACCTCCACAACCTCTACCTTTTATACATCGCCAAAAACCTTACCAGGACATCATCAGACAAGCAGATCCGGCACGAGGCATGTTCGCTAAGGGACCATGCGCACGCACTCATTGATGTTGAGATGGATAGCGACTTCGAGGTGGAGTGCCAGGAGATAGCCAAGAAGCGGCGCGAGGAGGGAGACATGGCTGACGCAGACCTGCCCGATTTTATCTACACTGCCTCCAACTTGCGTGAGTCATAATCGTCGTCATTTCAGCCACAGGACGTCCACTGCTGTACAAGTGCACATAGGCCTCCCCCAATGATTTCTACATCGCCCGGTTGGTAGCAGCCTGCATCCGGCGCCTTCCTGCTACCTTTATGAGGTCGTCGGTCCACCTTGTGGAGATGGATAGCGACTTCAAGGTGGAGTGCCAGGAGATAGCCAAGAAGCGGCGCGAGGAGGGAGACATGGCCGACGCAGACTTGCCTGACTTTATCTACACTGCCTCCAACCTGCGTGAGTTATCATCATCATCATTGTTTCAGCCACAGGACGTCCACTGCTGTACAAGTGTACACACGGCCACACTGTTAACTATCAATTTCAGTTTTTCCTCTTGCTCTCATCAAATGGCGATTCTTTGCGATAGAACGAGACGTCATGACAGGTAATGGATAGTTAACACTGTTGCCGATGGTACATAGGCCTCCCCCAATGATTTCCACATCGCCTGGTTGGTAGCGGCCTGTATCCAGCGCCTTCCTGCTACCTTTATGAGGTCGTCGGTCCACCATGTGGGTGGACGTCCCATGCTGTGTTTTCCGGCCACTCCAGAACCTTTCTGCCCTATTGGCCGTCAGTTCTCTGTACTACACGTGAGTACACGTGACATTATACTACCACTGTGTATTATTATACGGGGAGACGGATAGCGACTTCGAGCTGGAGTGCCAGGAGATAGCCAAGAACACGTGTATTATTTCAATCAGTCTACTGCTGGGCTGACACTTTTTGATAAGGGGCGCCAAAGTACCCTACTTTATTCATCCGGCCACTGATAACTGACTTCTAAAAGTTGAGATGAGAATAAGCTGCTCGTCTTATAATTAATTTCCTGAGACTTGTTATCCACTTGGAACCTGTTTATTCTATCATTCATGGTGTCTGAAATAGATATGGCTGGCTTACTGATACTTTAGATTTGCTACACACATAAGCAGGCGTGTATTTTCGATGACACTCCAGCCAGGCGGTTTTGGGAGGCATTTTTCCTCATTTAGCCAACCTAAAACCTATTTGTATGTTAAGTGGTGTAAATAATATGACTTATGTTCCATAGAATGCTTCGCAGACTCCACTGGAAACGACAGCAAGTCGATGCGGACGCCGCACAATGGCGAGAAAAGCGCGGAATCGTCGGCCAAGCGCAAGCGCCGCCGCATGAACGCCTGGTCCAAGGGGCTCGTCGTCAAGCGGCAGAAGACTGCGCAGAAGGTAACATTAACGGCACATTTGTAGCAAACTAGCTCTTATTACCGCAACATAGAAAGCAACGGTGAAAAGAGCGCGGAGTCGTCGGCCAAGCGCAAGCGCCGCCGCATGAACGCCTGGTCCAAGGGTTCAGTGGTCAAGCGGCAGAAGACTGCAGAAGGTAACATTGTTGTTGCAAAATAGCTCCCATTATCACTGAATAAGATGTCGCAGTGTTTAAATTCATACGTCATCGTTTGTAGTTGGATAATAGAGAGCATTTATTTTGTCTAACTTTATGTCTTTGCAATATTGGAAAACACTTTCGTCTCGATTTGAAGTAGTTTTCTCAAAGGAAAAAGTAGAAATTATAATATCTTTCAAAGAAACTAAACTGACTATCTGACCTGTTATTCTTATTTAAGAGCGTTTACGTCTAGCGTGGCATGTCAAGTTTAGGTAATTTCGATGCTATTTTTATTCACACTAAAATAATTGTNTTTTTATAAAAATTTCAGCTTGTAAACTGACGCTAAAGTGGAAATTTACAAAACCTGTGTGGACTTATCTTGATATAATTCTTGAATACTAAACTAATCGCAATATTTTCTCAATTAACTATTTAGACGACGAAATTGCCTAACTATTTATGCCTATAACATATTTGTAGTATTACTGGTTAATGATTGTAACGAGTTGAAAAAGTACTGTTTTTGCGCCAAACGGCGTAAACGCTCTTAAATAGTTTTTATTTACTTACCTCTCTACGACATACACCTGACTACGGTCTGATAAACCTTATTTCTTTCCTCAGTCATTCAAAGACTCGAGCATGGCGATCACCGACGAGGAGTCAAAAGAGAACAAGCCGATCACGTCGACGCCGCTGCCCAACGGCGAGGTGACGTCATCATCAGCGTCAGATGACGACGCGCCACTGCGTCGGCCGCAAGATAGCGACTCTATGCTCAACATTACCGTGCAGAGTGCGGTTCATAATCATGTCATAGAGAGGTGAGATGTCATTTAAAACCTTTTAGGGCCCTCGCCCACGGCGACTTTTTGTAGCAATGCAGTAGCGCGTTAGTAGCTCGTTGGCATCACTTCTGTAGTGCGTTGCAAATGCGACTAACGTGCGTTAGTAGCGATGCTAGTAAGAGTCGACGTGGGCGAGGGCCCTTAGATGTTAAAAGTTAAATTACTTGTCTGCGTCGCGGTGACGTCATCTTTGCATTCGATGACGCGCTGCTGCGATGCCCCGCTCCGCATTATGCTGATTGCGAGGCAAAACCACATCTTGGAGAGGTTATGGTTGAAGCAATGAAATACTGGGCTTTTCTATCTTATTACAAAACTAGCGGCCACCCGCGACTTCGTACGCGTGGATCAGATATTTTCATACAAATGTTTTTTCCCGGTAACTCCCGTTCCCGGGGGAATTTTGCAATATCCTGTTGTAAGCTTTAAGTTTACTAAGGTACCTGCATGCCAAATTTCAAGCGTCTAACTTAAGCGGTTTAGATTTTTCATACAAAAGGATTTTCCCGCTAATTCCCGTTCCCGTGGGAATTTCGGGAATTCCTTTCTTTCTTTGCACCTCTACGGTACCTAAGCTACGTCCCTTCCAAATTTCAAGTGCCTACGTTGTTTAGGCTGTGCGTTGATATGTTACTAAGTCAGTCAGTTTCTCCTTTTATATATTTAGATTAACTGCCTATAATTGGGTATTATTTCTTTACAGTCCTACAAAATCGACGGAGAAGACGAAGACATCACCAAAGAAAAGGAATTCAGGGCATGATACGTCCGCCGGAGGTGACTATCACATTACATATTTCATCCTCTTTAATTACCTCCAAAGGTTCAGAACCTTACATTTATTAGGTAAAGGACAGTGCCAATCCATGTATGGAAGTTGGACCAAGTGCTGCCCAGAATGAAACCATAGTGCATTTTGTTCCTTAGGCCAATACTAATTTATAAACTGGAGCGCACTGAAATCTATCCCTGGAGTTAAGAGAAAAAAAGAGTTTTGTTTTGAATTATTTACATACAAAATATCATCGATGTATACCTACTACGCATAAGATTTAGCGATTGTGGCATTAAATAACACTCGCTATGTTGAACTTAACCATACTGCATCCGTACACCTTACTTTAGTACGACTTCAACATTCTTTAAGCGATCAAGCGCTGTTGCAGTAGTTTGGTTAGTTGACAGAAATTAATTATTTCCAAAATAGAGCAAGAAGTTTTAGCTTACAATAATTTCAATAATCGATTGTAATACACCAATGAATTGATTTTTTGCAAGGACAGAGAACTAAAAATTCTTGCTTCATTTTGGAAATAATTAACTAACTTACCAAACAATTAAAACAGCGCTAGATCGTTTATAAAGAATGTCTAAATCGCACTAAAGTAACGTGTACGGATGCAGTATGGTTAAGTTCAAAATAGCGGTGTTATTTAATGCCAAAATCGCGAAATCTTATGCGTAGTACGTATACATCGATGATATTTTGTATGTAAATAATTCGAAACAAAACTCTTTTTTTCTCTTAACTCCAGGGATAGATTTCAGTGCGCTTCGGTTTACACATTAGTATAGGCCTGAGGAAGAAAATGCACTATGGGTTGATTCTGGGCAGCACTTGGTCCAGACCCTGGCACTGTCCTTTATTTTATCATCATCATAATTTCAGCCATAGGACGTCCACGGCTGAACATAGGCCTCCCCCAATGCTTTCTATGTTGATCAATTGGTAGCGGCCAGCGCTTCCCTGCTACCTTTATGATGTCATCGGTCTACCAATCGGACTACATTTATTTACAAATTAATATTCTTTACAGAGGCCGAGAAAGTACTGATAAACAAGACTGAGCTAGATAACGTCGTGTATAAGAACGCAAAGGCTCTGCGCTCGATAGGATTGGAAGCGTTGCTTGATTTGCACGCGCAGCTTAGTGGGATCATACGCTCATACGCGCGCGCGACCGACCGCACGCGTCTGCCGCACGAACTCACCGCCGTCGTCACGAGGTACTTGCAGCATACAAAGAAATGAGACGAAACAAAACACCGGTACGGTCTCAGAATAACGCGTCGAAAGAATCCAAAATATATTCAGTAGCTACCGTATGGTAGGAACACGCGTTAGTTATAATAGCAACTGATACTATCAAGTTTGTGAGCTGACATTTGCTAGCGCTATTGAACTCCGTTCCCCCGCCATTTTTAAGTTGCTACGCGTCTACTATAGTGTTGGTGAGAGCTACATATATTTTTGGTAGGTGGCTCGAAGTTACCTAGGTATTAGGGTTACGTAAACCATAGGGTATATGAAATTTTGCGAGAGTTGTCTTGAGGTATGTTAGGAAATTGTTAACGTCCTTGTTGATTGGTTTAGTGTTGGAATATCACATTCCATATCTTCGAACTAATAATGATCGAAACACTGCCGTCTCGGCTATAAAATTATTTATAAATTATCTTAAGATCGAGCGACCATTCCTAATTAGCCAAATTGTGAGTGAGATTACCAGATATAGGTTAGTTTACCGGTTGTAAAATTGCCCAAAGGACTGTGATATGTAGAAGAAGAGTATAGACGTGTACATAAAACATTGCTTCAATTATTTATTGCGTTGCGTCGCTAGCTGAGTGTTTGTCTGTGCCATGCGTGACGTCAGTGTTGACATTTGGATGCGAATGACTCAAAAACTGTCCAGTTAGGAAAATATCTAATCTATAATTTCAGTATTTACTATTTATTCTTAATCATTAGTGACTAAATACACATTGCGCCTGCACATGTTTGTCTATAGTCCGGTCTCATTGCTGCCGCCCGTCGCACAGTCGCGATAGCAATATAATTACACGCGAGGGATAAGGATAGGTAGCTTGGGGTCATTGGACGAAATTCAACGTGCTCGGCGACCAGACTTTAGATATTCTAATTGGCATTTAATGTAACACAAATAGCTATATCGCTCCAGCCCACATTAGAATTTTGACCTTCTCTTTAATCATTTAAGACGCAAGCGAGCTGTAACGCGAATTATGATAATATAATCGAAATGAAATGACTTTCTGATCAGATATTTTATATTCTTGCCAGCTTATGTCACTGCACAAACTAGTATAAAATTATAGAACTTGGACTCTGATAATTTAGTCACAGAGGAGTCAAAATAAATGAAAATTCAAAGCATCCAAATGTTAATACGGACTTAATCTTGCATGGCGTTTTAAAATTGTGTATTCAAAACTATTTAAATTAAAATATACATACGATATTATATCAGTGCGGAGTGTCCAATTTGGCTTTTTAGGCGTGCTACAAAATTAACGCACTGATTATGTTTTAAAGAATTTATTAATTACCAAATAAGCTGATTAACCATCATGTTTATCGTAGGATAAGGTTGTACTAACAAATTAATTTTAATATATTAATTATGATTATGATTGTTGTGTGGGATGGCGAGTTAAGATTTCACTGCCAACACAGTGGTGTCGATTGAATAGGTATTGTGTACAAAATATTAATACTCTTTTCGTAACCTGACTTAAACTTTACGGTTAAACGTTTTATCGGTACTTAAGATAATTTGCACTAACACAGATTATAAATTAATCTAAATTGCTACACAATATTTATGCAGAGGCGGACATCACTTCGTCAGGTTCAATTGATGTGACTGTTATAGTAATACGATGTTTAGGATATTCTGCAACTACAGTTTTCTGGCGTTTGATCTGAAGTCTGTTTAGCCATAATTCATGAGCCCATCTGACAATTAAAACACTTATTTAATATTTATACACTGTTCATTAACAATTTAACTTCACACAAATCGCCTAGTCAAAATCACGAGTTCAGATCAAAAGTTGTCAACTGTAGTTTACATTAAGGTTTAAACTTATATCCGCAACTATTCGTACCCCCTCGTTCCGAAATATGTGTAATAGTTTACGACGAAAAGGGATGATTGCGATTACGGCTGCTACATTGAATGATCAAGTATCAAGGTGTCATCCAATTTAGGCTTATTGCACGTGATTTCCGATAATAAGTGTGATGTGCCCTTAACAGTATTGTTAATCGAATTTTTATATTAGATAAGGACCCCTACCACATTAATGCCGTACTATTCTACTTAATTCTTGTACATTATAATATGCGTGGGATTTCGTGCAACTATTCGGCGCTAGATGGCGCTAATTCTACAATATTATAATGTACTTAATGGTTCCAGAATTAACAAAATAATAAGTAAGATTTACCTGAAATTTTTAACGAAATACATTTTACAGTATAAAGTATCGGTTACATTGTCTATGGATTTAATCGCATGATGGTGTTGTTTAATCTGTATGTACTTAAATGATCAAAGTGTGAATCGATCAACTTGTATCCCTTGCATACTTCGCAATCGTGTACCTACTCTATCTTTTGTATAAACGTTTATAGAACTACGGGCGAGTATTGTGCAACAAATAGGTCTAAACTAAAATTATACTATCTGTATATTTATTTAAATGATTTTATAAAATTGAAAAGAAAAAACCAATCGATTAGAGATTTCAGAAATTTAAACTTTGTTAAAGTAATTTATTTATTTGGAAGAATTGTATTAACGTAATCATGAAGCTTTATTTGATCAATTTAATCAAATTAATATCGAAGTTCGCTACGAGATAAAATGTTCAATCGAGTAATCTTTCATTTGTTTAGCTCAGTCTAAAGTGCTTGATATTTTATTGTTGAGAAATCTAGTGAGTACATCTTCTTGCTACTGTCATAGTAACTCTTGCATCAAAGTTGCCCAATACGTGCCCGAATAATATGTATGTATACCCACCTAAACCGCGTCTTGGATGTATCTCGGCTTGATCATAGCATTATAGTTCTAAAGCACTATCAATTTAAAGTTTAATTTAGTGTGAACTGATTCCAGGGGGTGTGGCTTGTCTTGTATGGAACATGCTAAAGTAAACCTTATTGTAGTGTGCTTAGGTCTATAAGAGCAAAGGTTGAAGCGAGATCGGATCTAGATAAGAGCTAGGTGAAATATACTCTAAAATTACAAAACTGTGTGATATAAAGGAATAAACGCAACATTTACAAAGCGTAAGTTACCTCGTTCCGTGAAGGAATTAAATCCTATGCCATAGTAAGTGAAATAATTATGTCCTGACGTCTCGACCACTTGTTAAACTACAACTGTTACTAATGCTTGCATTTGCTCAATCGGAGTGTTTTAAGTGTACGCACTCAGTATCCACCGTCTAGTGTATAGTTTTGTATTTATAATGTTGTATTTAAATTAAAACAAATAAAAGGGTACGATTTCATGTGATATGACATTTTGACTTTTATTTTTAGTAGTCCTTTTGAGTTTTTCGTTTAAAATATTTGTGAATGTATCTTGGTGTCTACATGTGATGGTACTTCGTAGATATTTAAGAGTCAAGTTTGATACTAGGAATTTATGCACGACGCACGTCGATTGCTAGTACGCTTTGATTGGTCTAAATAGTCGCCAAACAAGTTTTGAGCGTCTTTTCGTAGTAATGCAGGCCTGTACAGAGTTAGATTTCGCAGTGTTTAAGATACGTGTCAGTATCAGTGTCTCTTCTGTACCGATTAAACCGGTATTCAGATCTTTTTTTAATGATGTAAGTTGTACATACAGTACACACCTATTTTAGAGCGCAATAGCGATAAATCTTGAGTATGATTGAATGACATGCAAAATAAAACGGCAAATGGTATTTCATATTTTTATTTTTTTACACTTTACGTCGGTGACCGTAAACGAATTTTACTACATCGCTCCATCATTTCAATTCAATTACACGATAGAATGATACTAGAACATAAATATTTTTTCGTATTATTTAAGATCAAATAGATAATCTTTTTTACACCCTAATGTAACGATATCATTTAATTTGTCATTATATTAAGCAAAATACAACAAATTAAATTACACAACTTATAATTAATTATACTCTTTATCAGAGAGAACAATTATCTAAGAGCTAAAATCATTGCAATTACAATATATAAATACTCGTAACAAAAATGAAGGAACTAAATATTTGAATCTACTACCAACTAAAAATAAGTACTCAATGTGTCTTAAATATATTATCTATTCTTTACGTCCTTACATTTGGCTCCTGATGAAATTCATTTGTGTAAATCTATGCTTAAATAACTGCCGGGAGCGAGCGCTGCGACACCACGAGAACAGACCTGAACAAGGAACTACAGGAACTCTCAAATCAATCCGACTTCGATCAAATAAAAGACTGCCTTGTAACTACCAAATTATACTCCGGAGACGCGTCCACGGACGAACAACACAATAATCATTTCGTCAACCCCATTAACAAATAACAACTTAATTAAAAACGTCTCAATTAAAACTTTAACAAAATCACTCTAATACTGCTGAATTTGTACGAATTAGGTAAAATGTCCGATAACAAAACGATCACAAGTTCACAACACAAGTAAACATAAAGCCAGCCTAAACAGTGTCGTAGGCAAGATACAGTCCGTGCGCCGGCGCCGGTGCCCTAGGCCCGCGGTCGCCCATCTGCCAAACGTTAGTGCTCACGATATCATAATTTTTGGCACATGTAGTTTTCCATACACACATTGGTTTACTCCGTTTAACACCCTATATATTTTACATTACGCTACTCTTTTAATACCCCTCACAAAAGTGCATCGAAACTTTCAACTGAATACTAATTGGAACGAAACGAGAAAAAGCAATAGGTATCTGTTAAACTATAGTTACATATTCAATTATACAGTAATTCGTTTATATATAAAATCCCTGTAATGATAATATTGTTATATGACGTGACACTAGGTGTACTACTGTGTGTGAGGTTCACTGCCAGAGTTCTGAGATTATGTGTAATGTACAATAATTATATAAAATAGAGTCGTAAATAGTGTTCAGTCTTCTGGTAAGTTTTGCAGCGTAGTAAATGTACTGACGAATATGCGATTAATATACTGTAATCTGGATTGCGAGTCATACTGCATGGGTGCACATAGAATTGATTAAATATAAATACGGAACAACATAAATACTGTTAGTGATATTTGGGAATGTTCATAGCATCGTTATAAAGGAAACATCAAACACGTTCAACATATTTTAAAATCATTATTATACAAATAAACCGTATATACAACAGGTAAACCATTTGCGTCTAGTCACATGGTATCTCTAATTCATTATGAAATCATTGTATACATTTATCTAAAGCCAGGTAGGATTGAACCTCGATTTATTCTAACCTTCATTATTATTCACTAAAATTTTGAAAGCTCCTTTTGATTTGAACATTGAGTGCAGAAACGTTTATTTGTCTAACCTGGCGCGCACTGTCGTGGGAAAGGTCCTCGTAACTTCAACTCGCCACCGGATCGAAAACGCCTCCTACGCATCTCGTGGCCTATAAATACTTCAGAGATGAATACGTAACGCTAAGTCGACAAGTGTGCGAGAACCTTTATTCACCCGAAAAGACGAACGGCAATGAATCATACGCAATTTATTTTAGATTTTACAACAAATCTAGCACAAAAGTGTCTAGATAACGACGCTCGTTCAAAATCACTCCTTTATTCCTCTTGTAAGTAAGAAAACATGTCATTTCTGAGCAAAAAAGCAATAAACGAGCGCCTTTTGAACGAGGATCCGCAACAAATTGCGTCCGAAACTGCAACAGGCGTCCATCATCGGGGCTGAATTGAATTTGTCATACTACAATTTTGTCAGTAATTTCCAGGGAAGTGTAAACAAAACAGTTTGAAGACAAGTGAAGAAGGCTAAACGTCGTTGGTTCGGCGCCCAGGGGCGTGACTAGTGCGTCGCGGACCTCTGCCTGCAGGCAGTCATGAATCAGTTCACTAATACTACAACAATTACAAATACACTACATTACCATTTTAGACACATAAATGTCCCCTTAATAAATGGTTATTAAAATTTATTCACCATTCAATTATCAATAACTATTTACATTTAAAAATTGTATTATCATCGAATATAACTATTATTACGAAATATTTTACAAACTTTGGTGAAATGCAGAAGTGGAATCGCACATTAACACATAATATCTACATTGGGATCGAATTAAAACAATTAGGACGCAATTAAAATTAAACATCGTTTCTTAAATAAAATTCCATTTATAATAATTAATAATTACACTGTAAATGATAATAATTCTAAAAGGAATGTTTGATACGGAATGTGATAACAATAAAAAAGTATTCGGAAAATCTTAACGATAACAATCACAACACCTTTCATACTTATTGCACTCCTTCGGAATAAATTATCGCCTATCACTTAAGAGCGATTTAATATACATTTACAATATTAACACATTTTAAATATAAATTTAACTAATTTTAATGTGGACGTCGCTCGTGCGAGCTACGGAGGTGTTACACAAATCTCTAAAAATATTGTTACACAATTTGTGTACTGCGCACGCGCGCGACGTGGAGATCGGCGCCCAACCTCGGTCCAGTAGCAACGAAAGAGGAGCCCATAGAGGTGGGCACAGCCCATACCCCCCCAAGAACAAGGCGTATGTAGAACTAGTAGAGTGCGAAAGTAATTTATGTTCTAGAAAGGAAACAACGTAGAAAAGTTTACGGTAAGGTGCGACCGAAGTTAGGACAATAATCAGATACCAAAGTATCAAAGTAAACTAATTTGGGCAATAATACACTAATCGGATCCCAGTTTTACGTCCTCAATAACATGTAACCTAAGCGAGATTTCGTCCGTATAGAGAGCACAGAGCGAGCTCGGGAAAGCCTCGTTACTAACACAGTTGAAGGTACAGTAGAGATTCGTAGACGTTTGGACTAAATTTAAGGGGCCCTTAGTCCTGCCCGTTGTGGTGCAGCAGCGTGCGGTTGTCGGGCGGGTGCGGCGGGTGCGAGGGCGCGCGGTACGAGTCGCCCTCCTCGTCCGCCGAGTTCTCCTTGGACCGATCACTCTTGCAGTCCTCCTCTTTCGTCACTCCCGACAGCGAGTCCAGGGCCATCGGCATCGACTGGTACAGCTCCCTCGCCTTCTCGTTCGGCGGCAGCAGGTGGAGCATATTCAGCGGCATCGGGAAACCGGGAGGGAATTCGGGGTAGAAGCCTTGCGAGAACGGGTTAAACATGGGATTAGAGGCGATGTCCGGCTCGGAGCTCGCCGGTCTTTGGCTGGAGTTCTGGTGGTCGTCCTTGTCGTGTTGGTGTTTGCTCGGCGGGTGGTTGTTGTTGTTGTTGCCGGAGTTCATATTAAGTACGTCGAGGGGCCCGCCGATGCAGTCTTTCCGGAGCTGCTCCAGCTTCAGGCTCTTGCCGTACTTGCCGCGCACGTACATGAGCAGCGAGTTGTACGGGATGCCGAAGATGCGCGACGCCTGACTCGTGGTCATCTTCTTGTTCCACACGTGCTGCAGCGCCTCGGTCAGCTCGGCGTTCGTCCACGATCGAGGTGGCCCGCCGCGCGGCGCGCTGTGCTGCCCTTTCGGCCGCCCTGGTGAACAAAAACGGTCTCGTAAATAGCAGGTTCGTGCATGCTAACAGAAATGTTTAGTTAGCTAATTACGTTATGAGCAACAATATAGAGTTTTGTGATTTACGAGTAACAAAGTGCAGGCGGGCAGGGCCTGGCACGACATGTGCCGTGTGCCGCCGTCGCCGGCATTACGCGAATGCACCACTATCTAATAACCGTGTTTTGGTGGAGCAATAACTCCGTACGGGGCACAGCCGAAATGAGCGGGTTGCGGCGACATTTCGTTGGCGGCGATTTGTCATTAATTCGATGCGAGCACGCGATTATTACGGCGAGTTTTGTCAAAAAGAAACGCGGACATGCATACGCCGGCGACGTCGCCCCACGTAACTTTATAGTTTTATAATTCCAACTGAGCACGTTAACTCGATTCCGATCAGATAATTCGGAGAACGTTTCGGATTACAAGCGGAATGATATTTTATTATGGAAATTAGTTTTCTTTTAATAGTCGTCGCGGGTCACGCGAGTCGGGGGTGTATCGGTGGAAAATTAAAAGGATGTTTTCGATTTGTACTCGTTAGCATTTAGCGGGCGCGCGAGTCCCGCGGCCGGGGCACGCATGCAGCGGGCGAGATCGATCGGCCATTGTGCGCTCGACTCGAGTGAGCGCATTCAAAGCATACGTTAGACTCGGCGCCTGTCCTTCCCCTATGAGATACGCTATCAGATCGTCTTAATAAACATGCGCGGGAAACAAAGCGTCCGCTATAGCGATGTGTGATGGGATGCATCTGCGGCTGCAGTTGGCGCGCCATTATTGGCAGCGCCATTGTTGCGTAACACAACGCTTATTCATTGTTTCAATGTATTCGTATTATTCAATAAATCTTAAGTAATCGTGAATGGAGGCCTGGGGTGGCCGCTTATCTCTTGTCTAGCCTTTACAATCGCCTGCTGGTTGAGTAAAGGTAACTAGTTTGCAATAATATAATTACAGCGTAGAATACAAAGTTTACTGAGACCATTGTATTTTATTTTTATCTGGTACGGATTGAAAATTATTAGTTATCAATATTAATTAATGGACCAGCAACTGTGTAGGTTGGTTATCGATCCATGTTTAATCACCAAAGTTTATACCTGAAGCCTTTTGTGAATGGGCTTACGGCTGAACGTTAAAAGTAATATTTCTAAACCTTAGACCACGACAGTCATACAAATGATAGAGGCCATTGAAGTCGGCTTTAATCAGGTTGGAATTGTGACCTTAAAAGTTGTAGGTCGAGGAGCGAGGCGTCTGCGAGGGCAGGTCCCTCCTGCGAAGGGTGGAGGGAGCGAATTGCGGTGACAAACAATTTCAAATGTCTAGATGAAGGTTGAGGTTTGAATTAGTTAAAAAAGTATGGGATTTAAAATAAATAGGTATTAATTACCTATTTGAGTTCTAAAACCCTAACCTACCTCAAAAATTTAGTCGTAGCGTCTTTTTGCTTAGGGGCTTAATTTTTTATGATCGGAATTATTTCGGATTACCAATCATGTAGGAAGGAAAGCCGCGTTCGTAACATCCCACACATTACAAGAAAATCTACTTATTTCAGGACTTGTAGGTAGAGCTAGCTAAACCATTATTAAAAAAATTGTAGAGATGAGGGCAGGACTTACACAAATTTTTTTGAAGGTGCCAAACTGCAGAAAATGGTGGAGGAAATACATGATTTAGCATGAATTATCATGAATAATATTAACTACTTATTTACCTCAGTGTCTTCAGGCAACTTAAAAAAGTACATTCTGTGTTTTTATTATTATTTAGGCAGTTAAATACTGCACAGTATTTAGTACACCATTTTCTTTATTTTTTTCCATCATACACAAGAATACGCGTGCGTGAGTCAATGCTCGCTCGTATGTGTGGACTTGTCGAATAGTAATCCTGTAGGGAAAGAGGTGTAAAAAAGGTGAGGTTGTGACTTACATTTCTTTTTGACGCTGGTGAAGAGTTGTGAGTCGAGCGGCGGCCCGCGGTGCTCCACATCCATCATGGGATACATCTTGTGCTCCATTCCCGGCGGGAACAGCCCCAGCGGGGAGTCGATGCCGAACACTGCAAGAGAGAAGCATTTTAGTATAAACTAGCTTTGTTCCGCCTTAATGGCAATAAATAAGCAGACTTTTTTATTTCGAACGGGATAAAAAGTATCCTATGTCCTTCTCCTGGCTCTAAACTACCTCCCTGACAATTTTCAGCTAAATCGGTTCACCCGTTCTTGAGTTATAAGTGGAGTAACTAACACGACTTTCTTTTGTAATATAGATAAACGTACGTACACACGTAATCTAGGTTAATCTAAGGGAAAAAAGAAAGACGAAAAGGTTCTGTTTGGGAAGGAAGAAAGGTGAAAGAAATATTTGATCGTTGATCTTGAAGCCTAAAAGTGTTCCAATTAAATAGGTACTTTGTTAGTCCTAAAATTGTACGGTTGCATCAGGCTTTTGTTTCAAAATCTTAAGTCCCAGTTGACGTATAACTGTGGTCTGTACCTATACCACAGAATAATAATAAGTACTCCTATACTACTAAAAAAAACTGCTTTTGTTTCAAAATCTTAAGTCTCAGTTGACGTATAAACTGTGGTCTGTACCTATACTACTTATAATGATAGATATCGGATAAACATCCATGATTGGACAATAATTAACAAGAAGATTTATTTATAAGTATGGGTATCACAACAAAAATATTTTTTTCCCAGCAATATTTGAACTCCCAAGCCCAGTTAATTGTAGAGCAGTACCCACCTACACAGTCGCTACATTAAATCAGAGTCAAGTTTACAATAAAAGTGATTATTAATAAAAATACTAACATAATAATAACAACAAATTAACAGGAATTTCTAAAAAGCTCTCATTTGTTTCGTACAAGTTGTGTACAAGTTTAGTGCGTCTACTCCGCGCTAGATGGCGCTAGCAGTTTCGAACGTAACAATCGTTATACCAAAAGAAAACGGGTATACGACCCCAAAATATTTAAGTTTTAGTTAAAGAAGTTATAATGTAAATACGTTTTGCATGGAGTTTTTCCAATATTCTTCATTGAAACTTTTGAGTCTAGTTAATTAATTGACTCTTGCATTTCCCTGCCAAAACTAAGGTAANGAAACTTAAATAAATGAATTATTTGTTTCATAACTTACATTTCAACTATCATAAATAATTATTTAAAAACCAAGCATCAAAATATTATCCATAATATCCTTGATTCGATAGTATCACGAAACAGGGGACACCCGAAAAATAATATGTACGCTATTTCGTGAGTCAAATAATCGCAATTTTAAAGGAATTCTACGTTTTCATTTAACTTTTTTCTAAGCCAAATCAATTGTCAAGGAACACATGAAACCACTATTACAAGTTTTATGCAAATGGACGTTTCTTCGCCTTTCTATAAGCTTAAGAAGTTGGAGCGCTAACCTTACGGTGAGAGCAACCTTTGCAAGCCGCACGGCTGTTTTTGGCTCTCTGAGAGTTTGAAGCTTCGTATTGCTCTCATTTTTGGCGCCACAATGTTGGTACTTGGTTTTTTAGATAGCTTAAATAATAGAGTTTTTGTAGTAATAAAGAATTTTTATAAATAATATTCCATTTGCTTATTATTTGAGCTAGAAAAAAAACTTACGAACTTACGTACTATCACGAACTAGTAGCCGTTTACCTTAAATGTGTAGTTTCAACGTCACCATGAGAATTGAACTAGGACTTTTAACTAGCTTATTAAAACTCCATAAAAGCTCGTTATTTGTCTAGACTCCATACCGAGTAGGTCTTAATAATTTCATAACGCTCAGCTTGGCAGTTATTAACATAATGCTCCTATAATCTCGTCCTAGGAATTTCGCACTGGTCGTCTAATAAAATGTATTTAATTTACTAAATATCCCAATTACCTATGTATTATACATATCTAAGTAACTATTTTCATCTTTGTTTTCAATCGTTTCGTTGTAGAAATACAGTTATAAGTACTTTACTGTTTTAGAGATTCCGTTTTTGGGCAACGTCAATTTATTCATATATTACTTATAGAATTATGAGCATATCCATTAATCAGGTGTAGGTATGTGATATTTTATGTATGTCATCCAGTACAGAAGTCCATCATCAGTTATAGAACTCTAATGGTGATTGATTCGATGGAATAAATAAGAAGGCATATATGCACAATCAACTTTCGAGCATTCCCTGGCAGTGTTGCCTTATTATACGCGAGTTTAGGGTTGCCAGTCTACAAAGCTTAACCATAATGGCTTTTATTCAATATTAAAGCTATAATGGTTAAGTTTCACCCACACTATGCGTAGAAGTTTGTTGCGATTTTCAAAATAGTTATGGTTTTTTATTTTTGTGCTTATACTAAGGTCATCTTTTCGATATCGTATTTCTAGTTGCGAGACTCTGATACTGAATAATTTCGCTCTTTATTTAGGTTCTAATCTGAATATTAATTTTATGAAGTTAATGTAGAGCCTATAGATTTTCAATTTTTCGTACCTAATTAAGATTTATTAGCGATTAGAGTCGCTTCTTTAAAATTTATCGTAAGTTTGAATTGTTTTTGAGTTTCCAACATTGTTCTCACAAGTCACGGCCATCTGTAAAAACTTAAAACATAAAAAAGTAAAAACTTCAAGGATTATCTGGCAACCCTGTGCAGGTGTTGCCGTCCCTGTAGATGTAAATGCGCGGCACTTTCCCGCGTCGTCCGTTGAACCAAATGCGACAAATCGATACGAGCCGTGTCTTGCTTTATTGCGATTATCTGAAGCTGTATGCGGCTACGTCTGTGCCTGTGTCTTGGGGATTAGAAGAAATAAGGTGACATATCGGATGGCGGGAACGCCATTACTTGCGACAGTTAAAACGAACAAAAAGTAACTAAGTCCTTATACCAGACATCGAAATCTGTAGCTAGGTATACAAGTCCGTCTGAAACGTATAAATCGCGAGGGTATTCGATTGAGATGCAACAAATCAATACCATTCGTGAATAGTTTTGCGCACGTTTTGAGCTGAGACGAGCTGGACTAAAGGCGATTATTGCCGCGAAAGTTCTGTTGCCATCAGCTTTTTTATAGTGTTGTTTTGTATGTAACATCTGCATTCTGCATACTAGGCATATGATAATAGAGAATACAAAACTTATGTGTTTCATCGTTCGTTCGTTCGTTTCAGCCGAAAGACGTCCACTGATGGACAAAGGCCTCCCCCAAGGATTTCCACAAAGACCAGTTCTGCGCCGCTCGCATCCAGGCACCTCCCGCGATCTTCACCAGATCGTTTCATAAATAAGTTTTATGTTTTTCTGTGCTAGGTGTAATTGTATTCCCAATTAGGTACATACATGGATAGGATTAATTTTAATTTATCTCTCTTCCTTCCTTATTCTCATACTAAAGGTCATTTGCCACACATAATTATAGCAGTCTGAATGATATCAGAAAATTATTAGAAATATCTCTACATTAAATCAAATCAAATCAAATCAAATTAGTTTATTGCAATTGTAGGTACATATCATACATTGATATTTGATTGATTGCAATATACATATAAATGGTTACTTAATACTAATACCTGTTCATTTTATAATTTTACATGCAAACATTTTATGATCACATTCTTAAATTGTCCAGGAGGAATTCGTTAATGGAGTATAATGAAGTCATTAACATTAGTATAATGAAGTCGCTATCCTCCGGTGAAATTGATTTTATTTATGTAATTAACATAATCATTTACAAGATAGTTCAGTACCGTATTTCTGATCATCTAAGTTTTCTTTTGGCCTGAGCTCTAGGACTTAACCACTTGTTTTTAATACTGCAACTGTATAGCCAGGACCTGCAGTTGTTTGGCCACCTACCATGACAAGGTAGAATATTATCCGAAAATAGTTATACTATAACCATAACTATCTCGTAATTAACAACCTATACAATCAGAGGTATAAGTATTATATGTAGAGTTTGAAGTAATACAACGACTTCTCCCCATTGCAAATCTAGAATCATTAGTTTAACATTGAGACCTTTTAATTTAGCTGTGACAATCTATTGTTAGAGTCAGACGTACGTAGAGCATCTGATATCATAGGCTGAGTGGCACCACCTAACTTTAACTATAATGATAACCGGCGTATTTTGTATAGAGTTTGACAGATTTTTGACGTTTGTTAAAGTCAAAGTAAGATGGCGCAACCCAGCCTTAATAAATTGTAAGAATAAACCATAATTTCCGAGCTTTATTAACATGCTAGTTATCCCTAGATCACATAACTCTACAATGGTTCTGTGCGACTTTCTACGATGTAGAGAAAGGATTGATATCACATAAACTTTCCCTCCCGACTACCGTATGGCAATCTGTGTATCTGTTAATATAGTGCAGTAGAACAAGCCCTCGTAATTGGTGAGTGGAGTTATATTTAGCGATATGTATTGCTAACTTTTTGATAGGAAAATTACAAATAATCGAAAAATATTATAGAAGAAAATAATGACACGATGAAACTGTCATATCGTTATAATTTCCTAAGTACTCGTACAATTAAAATGAGATGATAATGTTGAGTAGCGATACATTTAACGACATGTGAGCTGCGCATGCGGCTTTAACTGTGCCTACATTTTATTACAGCGCAGATACGATACCTAACGAACCGTTAATTCGTGTCACTCGTTAAGGACTCGTTACTCCGACGATACTCGTTATTTTGCATAATTACCGACAATCAATAGCCCACATTCATATCGGCGGCGGCCGCGTAAAAATAAAGTGCACATAAACATTGCACTGATAGCTTCGCCTTATCAATGATCACAGACCGCAGCCGTAAAAGTGTCCGCGCGTTTTCTTTCGGAAATAAACACGTTTAACGACCTAATCTTGTTTACCTAAATAATAGCAGGTGTTATTTACAAAATCATTTTCCGCTTCCACTCATAATGCGATCGGACGAAATGGATTTTCATTACGTCACAATTTCTAGCAGAGTAGAGTAAACCTTGCGGTCAATTAGTGTAGCGCGGCGCTTGACGCTTT